AAAGTTGTTGCAGCCACAATGTGCCATGCTTGTCAGTTCGAAATGGCCAATGGACACCCTGAGAGAATGGCGAAATGCATTTGGGGAGTTGATAAAAAAAATATATATACATAGCTCCATAATATAGGTTTTTGGGTTAGATTGCGTAAATATAAATGTGTCGCTAAATCCACCACCACCCGACGCAGCTAATTACTAAGGGTTGTCACGTAAAGAAAACGTGCCAATCCGTTACTCGTACAGCACACCGGTGTGTCGGAGAGTAAACCCACAACATTTACAATTCGAGTTCGACGTTTCGCCAGTAATTATAACTATCATCATCAGGCGACAGCCAGAGTTCTGGGATGTTTAGAATTGGCTTGTTTTGTTGGCTGTCGGGTGGTGGCGGGTTTAACGACGCATTTATGTTTACGCGATCTAACCCAAAAACCTTGATTATGGATAACATTGGTTGCGAAAGCCTACGTGTTAAATTTATATGAATCTGTTTGTTGTTACGATATATGCCGTGTCACCAACAAAGATAGGTGGCCTCGATCTGAAAACACTGCTTGTCCGACTACATTGGAAACATTCGAATGCATGAGCTAAACCACTCCATGTTTGTCTTTAGCAAGGGCTCCATCTGCTGACAGAAAACAGCCAGATAATGAAGCCAACTTATCGCATGATTTAGACTTAAAACTTTCGTGGCTGCAGGAATTCATAGAAAACAAATAGTGTATACAAATTAAAAGCTTGTGTTGCGATCGAAACGTCGTGGGTTTTTATTTTAAGTTGGATTTTTGTTTTTCTATCTACGTGACTTCACCGAAAAAAACAAAAATATTATCGCATGATGTTTGACTTCTGAAAAATTATTGATTTTCGCCAAAATATTGTATCGACGTATTTAGTATATCATCAATTGGCAAAATATTAAATAACTTATTGAATGTATCCTCAATTATCGAGAACATATAAAATATATAAAATCGTCACAATAAGAGGTATTAAACATGTTCCATTGCCAAACACGTACACATGTGCCGCATTTCAGTAAGTTGTCTATTTTCAACTGGTCGTGCCTGCTGAATCGACGAGACATTTTAAGTGTTCAAGTCTGGTTGGATAGTGTGTTGGATGCCTTGCAGCTAAATACCGTGCATGGTATTAGTTTTGGCCAATATATTTCACGCGCTTATTCAAGATATCATCAATGAATTGACAACACATTAAATGCGTTATTAAATGTGTTGCCGATAATTGAGGATATGCTCAATGAGTTAATTAAAGGGGTGCCGTGGTGGTGAGGCGTTGACCACCTCGTCTGGAATGCAGGAGGTCGTAGGTTCGACCCCGACCCTGGCTCCTATATACTTGGAGTTTGCATGTTCTCCCCGTGGTCGCGTATATTTTTCTCCAGATCTTCCGGTTTTCCCTCCACATTTAGAAACACGCTTTAAGAGGATATTTGGCTGCTATAAATTTCCACGTAACAATTAAGCTGCTTTCGCTGGGCTGTTATTTGTAGCGAGGTCGTTTCTGAAAAAGAGCTTTATAGGCTCAGTGGGTTTTTCCTGGTAAACTAAAAGTTTAATTTCGTAAATATATTGCTGAAAATCGAATACATTTGAAATAGCAACAGACATCATGCCTTAGCCATTACCTTGTGTCCCTTATGACACCCCGACCTTCTCAGGAATTACTGCGAGTTGGGGAGCAACACGCGTGTCAACCTACCTGTCCCACTCATGTTCATCATCACCCACCATTGTTTCACAAAACCTGACTGCTGATGAAACTCACAATGTTGAAACACCGATCGAGAGTTTGGTTTGCTTAAACAACTGCTGCTTGATGAAATGTGTACGGAAATAAAATAGGCTGATGAGACTCAAACATATGTCTGTTGTTTATATGTGGAGACATTTAGAATATTTCGATTATTTTGCTGCTATAAATTTCCACGTGATAAGCCACTTTGTAAAGTTATTATTTGTGGCCATGTCGCGTCTGAAAAATAAGCTAATAGCTCAGTGCGCTTTACCTGGTGAGATTACTCAAATTGTTTAGTTTCATGTTTGTATATTTTAAGTGATTTGTTTACCTTTCCTATACTTTTCACTCCTCTCGTGTTTTTGTATTGTTTATTGTTGTAAAGTTCTGACCCACCCCTACTGGACATCTGAAAAAATACATGTACAGTATAGATAATCGGATTCCTCCAGTATTAATACATATTCTGATTCTGCGTCGGGTGGTGGCGGGTTTAACGACACATTTATATATTTACGCGATCTAACCCAAAAAAAATCTATATTATGAATTCTGATTCTGTTTGAACCCTCGGCGTTGTGTGTTGTGCCTGTGGATGCCGAATGAGTCGTTCCCGAGTGTGGCCAGGCGGTGGAGTGCAAGCAGCCTTGGGGGCAATTCGAGCCGAAAAACTTAAAAATAAACTATTTTTTATTTCACCAGGTAAGGAACCGTCCATAAATGACGTCACGCACCTAGGGGGGGGGGGGTCAGACATTTGTGACGATTGTGACGAGGGGTGAGAAATGTGACGTCACATCAAAATGCGCAACTTTAAAAAAATATATAGACAACACGTTCTACATAATTAAATAGACTTTTAAATAAATGTGTTCTCCTACAACATCAGAGTGCAGCGCCACATTAAATACGCACTACAATGACAATAGTTTAAAGCGATTTGAAGTATATTTCGATTTAAAGCTTTCGTGACTGCAGGGATTCATCTTCTTGGTTCTTTCGGTAAAGTCACATAGAAGGGAAGTAATAAAATAATAAAAATAAAACATAATAAAATAATTCTCACGACGTTTCGGCTACAATGCAAGCAGCCGTCAAAGTCATATTATGCCCCCCGAACCCACCCCCCGCCCACCTCCTACGCATTTCCCATGAATATGCTAAATTCCTCTTGATATGCACATTCCTTTTGTCAAGGCGCTCTTCCACCTCCAACCCAGCTTATATATAAGCTCCAAGCTTGGCAGCGTCTCATTCTTCACCTGAAGACGGCTGCTTGCGTTGTAGCCGAAACGTCGTGAGAACTATTTTATTATGTTTTATTTTTATTATTTTATTATTTCCCTTCTACGTGACTTTACCGAAAGAACCAAGAAGACGATTTGAAGTATGTTTTATTTTTTGGGGGGGCGGGGGCGGCAGAGCTTTGTGACGTCATATTTGAGGGGGGTCTGACTTTTTGTGACGCCGTGTGATGAGGGGGGGGGGTCAAACATCGTCAAAAATCGCGTGATGTCATTTATGGACGTCCCCTAAGGCTCATTGAGCCTACGTAGCTCTTTTTCAGAAGCGGCCTGGCCACAAATCATAGCTCAACGACGTGGCTTATCACGTGAAAATGTAAAGCAGCCAAATACTCTAAAACACGCCGATGTTGATTCTAAATGTGGAGGGAAAACCCCGAGGACCCGGAGAAAAATCCACGCGACCACGGGGAGAGAGGCACGCAAACTCGAAATATACAGCAGCAGGCGTTCGGGTCGAGGATGGAACCCACGACCTCCTGTGTACCAGGCGAGGTCGTTAACGTCTCCTAGCCACCGTGGCACCGAAGGGAGAAGGGAGAATCTGGTTTAGGCGGAAGGGAGGTGGTGCAATGGTGACGCTTGCTCCCGCCTCGCAGCGAGAAGGGTGCTGGATTCGATTCCCGACTCTGTGTGGAGTTGGTGTGTTCCTCCCCCCAGCCTCCCTGTTCTGTATGTGTTTCTTCCTGCTGGTTCGCTGGTTTCCTCCCAGAGCTAAACACATAACAACGTAACTGGTGTTTGCCAAATACCCCAATGTTGATGAAAAAAAACTGCACTGGATAGTTAGAGCAGCACATTGGAGCAGCATTGACCCCTACTGCGAGAATTTGGACGGGAGCCTGCTCATAAAGAGTGGCATTTTCACATTTGGGAATTGGGCCATGAAGACGCGGGTCACACAGTGGCCATCTCTTGAGAATGACGCCACCTTTTCTGTGCTTTGCACTCCTATGGGTTTTGTGATGTATTGTTTGCTATTGTAGCTTTCACACCCACCCCGCGTGATTTTCCCCTGGTTGATCTATCATTTGTGAGAGCCAGGTCGCTTCTGGAAAAGAGCTGTATAGCTCAGTGGTGGGCCTTACCTGATACAATTAAAAGGAATAGTAAATAGTAGGTGCTGTATTCGTAGCATTGTAAAATATATATTTTAAGAAAATATGTGAAAAAGAGCTTCATAGCTCTTCGGATTTATCTAGGAGAGATGACGTCATCCATCTCCAACCGACCAGATGCTGGGGAGAGAGACCCCCGCTCCCTTACACCCCCCCCCCCGCACACGTGACGTCATTCACCTGAAATCCACCAGTTGGGAAAAGCACCCACCCCCCATACATGACGTCATCCATCTTCAACCCACCAGTTGCTGGGGAGAGAGAGACCCCCCCACCCGCTTCGACCCTCCGGCCTCCCCTCCGTAGACATGACGTCATTCATATTCAAACCACCAGTTGCTGGAAAAAGAGATCCCCCCGCCCCCTTACACCTCCGCCCCCTCTGGACATTACGTCATCCATCTCTAACCGACAAGATGCTGGGGAGAGAGAGAGACCCCCCGCCCCCTTACACCCGCCCCCCCCGTAGACATGACGTCATTCATTTCAAATCCACCATATACACCCCCGCCCCCTCTGGACATTACGTCATCCATCTCTAACCGACAAGATGCTGGGGGGAGAGAGAGAGACCCCCCGCCCCCTTACACCCGCCCCCCCCCCCCCGTGGACGTGACGTCATTCATTTCAAATCCACCACTTGCTGAGGAGAGCACCCCCCCCATACATCTCCAACCCAACCAGTTGCTGAGGAGTTAGAGAGACCCCGCCCCCTCCCTGGACATGACGTCACCCATCTCCAACCGCCACACAGGATTACCCCACGTGACGTCTCTCCGCGCGCGTTGATTGGCCCTCGAGCCGTTTGAAGCAAAAAAGAAAAAAAATTTGAATCTCGCGGCGGTCAACGGCTCCCAAGCGACGTTCGCGCGCGAACGAGCAGCAGTGTGGTCGGTGCGAGACGCAGCATAGAGCACGAATTTTGTCCTTGTTGTTAACTCGCAATTGTTGTGCTACAACAAGCGTTGTTTTGAGATGGCGATGAGCGTTCTGCATGGTCCTCCGCTGAAGGTGAGAGGCGTTTGTTGGGGTAGTTTACAGGCGGCGCGCGCGACTTTAGCTCGAGCTTGAAGGCCGCAGGGCCTAGTCAAGACGATGATGGTTGGTGGCTTGCCATCGTTGTAGCGTTCGCTGCGTTTGTTCAGTAAAGTTTACATCGGGTTAGGGATGACGGCAATACTGTGCGCGCTGTGGTGTAATAAAATTGTTTGATTGAATGTGTAATACAAAGGCGTCAATAGTGACACTGTATGGCCTTAAAATGAACTTATATACTAGACGACGTTTCGAGTAATTACCCTTTATTATAGGACGTACCATTTTTATGCAATCAAATCAATGCAAATGAGCACCACCACCTTAAGTGAATCATGCGAATGTTTCGTCTAACCAGTCGCAGCGGCGTCACATTCAGGTGGCTGCGTTTATTTGTGTTTTACCTGTGAATAGCAACTGTAGCAAAAACAAATTTTGTTCATGGGTAGTAAGGGTTATTTTCTAATTACGTATGCCTCAAAAATACAGAAAGTGGCTATTATTCCCCACAAACTTTGCTTTTGGTGACCAGGACAGTGATGTTTTGAAATGTACCTATTTTCAATGAGAAAACGTGGTGTGCGTTTGTGTCATTCATTCACATAAAGGCCTGGTCACAAAAGCAAAGTTTGTGAGGAATAAGAGGAAATTTCTATACTTTTGAGGCATAAGCAATTCGAAAATAACACTACCCAGGAACAAAAATCGTGTTACATCGTGTAATCAACGACGTTCCCTCGTCACCTTTGTTTTGTTTAACCGCGTGATAACTCTGTTGTACGTACGCGTGAAGAAGCAAAACCACAACATTGTAAATTACTGAGCGATTCTAGATCGGAAGTTTTGGTGACTGCAAGAATCCATACTCTTTGTTTTTTTATCGGTAAAGTCATGTAGGTGAAAATAAAATAAATAAAAATACAAAAAACTAAATTAAATCGCGACATTTCGCGCGCAACACAAGCGGTCCGTCTGCAGATGGGGCCAAACAGCAAAAAAACTATCGCTGAATTCTAGATTTGAAGTTTTGGTTACTGCAAGGATTCATTCATAATAAAACAATTATTTTATTGATTGTTTTACCTACGTGACTTTACCGAAAAAACCAAAGAGTAACTATCGCTGAAGTATGCCTAAGAGATGGCTGTGACGAGGGATTATATACTCTTAGGTTTTTCGGTAAAGTCACGTAGGTAAAAAATGAAAAATACATTTATTTATATTTTACCTCCGTTACTTTACCGAAAAAACCTAAGTCACTTAGGTAAAAAAAATTTTTTTTACCTACGTGACTACCGAAAAACCTAAGAGTATGAATCCTTGCAGTCACGAAAGCTTCAAATCTAGAGGGATTATATAGCTGCGGGGTGAGTGTGGGGGCGTGGGCTGGGAGGCGGGCATGGAGTTCAAATCTCGAAACACTTCGCGGCAAATTTCCAAGTGATTGGAGTGAGCAGGACTGGGAGTAACAAAAAAAACTGGAGATGCGGATATGAATATAAACTTTAAGGCAGCTAAAGTATAACTTGGTTAATAACATCCTTCCAATGATTGTCTCAATTTGAATCCATCTTCTCGGTTGAAGTTATGTCTATGTTTGTATATCTGGATGGCTTCATGGACAAATCTTTGGTGATATCCCGACAGCTTGCAGAGAACTTTGGTGTCGGAGAAAACAATATCTTGAGAACCCACAGCGTTGTTGTGGTGAGCCACGGCAGAAGAATTCGTCCTACCGTGTTTCAAATCTGACTTGTGCTAGCGAATGCGGTCGTTTCGTTTCCCCAATATAACCGCCACAAATGCTACTTCGTTTGTAGACACCAGGGTACTGTAAATCAGGAATGACATCCTTTACGGATGGGATCAGATCACGGATTTTGTGTACTGTATTGAATCGGACCTGGATCTTGTGTTTGTTAAGAATTTTGGAAATCTTGCTGAGCGATGTTATTTGCAGAAAAAACTCAATCTTAAGTGGTGCATTCGGACGAGATCTAAATCCAAATCGTGTACGCCATTGGGACTGATTATGGACCGTGCAGTACCGTATACAAACGGTGGGCTGCGTGGTGGGTCAGCAAAGGCCATGTTTGCTCAAACAACATTAATACATAACAATTCCATAAACATTTTTAATAGACGTTTTTGGAAATGGTCCATCTTCCAAGCACAGGCCGCCTATTGTACAAGACGTGGGTTATAAACTCCTGCGGTGTACGTTGTGACCCTGTGGGATATCGGTAACGCCATTACGCGATTTATAATGACTGCAACAACTATAGGGCGCGGCCGACGTTGATGGCTAATACTGCAGCTTTAATTACATCACATAGTTGCACAACTGCATTAATTGCAGTTCATTCAATTGGGCGACACTTATGGCGATGTGCAAACTTGACACGTAACACAGCGACTGAACTTAACACGGTTAACGCAGCAAAATCTTTACAAACTAATTTCCATTTGACTAACACCATATTGTACACAATGTATCAATTTGCATATATCATAGAACTTTGCAACGTTTCTCTGCTGTCCAATATATGAGTGCACGTCTGATGTTAATGTTATCGAGTGGAGTGCATTTGTTGAGAATCGGCACCAAATTTTTTTACAGGAGCATTGGCTTTAAATATGAATTAATTGCGAAATCTTCTGCAGATTCTACCAATACATTGCAAATCACTTCTCTGGAGGGTTTTGGCACCCATTGGATTGTTGCATTGGACGTTATGTTCTTTTACATTTCCAGGCCAAAGTGTTATTAATTGTGAAATGTGGCAATTTTTCGTTTGTAATGTCCTCGGCAAGAGAAGCATTGTTGGTTTTATGCGTCTTTTCCTCCGACCCGGCGTTTGGGATGTACAGAGCTTGACATATGAACCATGTAGTATAGATATGTTGACTGTAGTATAGATATATTCTGCGCCAACACAGAATTACCAAATAATAATATGCTCAATGTTTCAACAAATCAAGAGCATTCTGACGACTTTTGTTGCCTGATGTGGGAGAAATAACAAAGTTGCTGGTGGGGGGACACTTTTTTTATCTTCAGAAAAATCTACTCAACGTCAAGGATGATGCCAAATCGAATCGCCTATCGGTGGAGAGGATCTACCAGAAGAAGACCCAACTGGAGCACATCTTGCTCCGGCCAGACACCTATATCGGCTCGGTGGAGCCCGTCACCCAGGTGCCTTGATGCAGCTGCCCGTCAACACCGATGGTTGTTTAACACGTAGGCTTTCGCGACCAATATCCATAATATAGGTTTTTTTTTGGGTTAGATTGCGTAAATATAAATGTGCCCTTAAAACTGCCACCACCCAACACAGTCAATTAGTAAGGTTTGTCATGTAAACAGAACATACCATAATAGATGTGTTTTTGGGTTAGATCGCGTAATAATTATATAAATGTGTCGTTTAAACCCGCCACCACCCGGACACAGCCAGCTAGTAAGGGTTGTCATGTAAACAGAACATGCCAATTCGTCACTGTACAGCACACCGGTGTGTTGGAGAGCCAAGCCACAACATTTACAATCCGATTACGACGTTTCGCCAGTAATTACAACTAGCTTCATCAGGTGACAGCCATTTATATTTACGCGATCTAACCCAAAAAACCTATGTTACTAATGGCTATGCTTTCTTCACAGCTGCGGGGTTTTTGTTAACATCTGTGCGTGTTTGTGTTTCGCCCATTGCAGAACATGTGGGTGTATGATGAGCAAATCGGCATGAACTGCAGGGATGTGACGTTTGTGCCTGGGTTGTTCAAGATTTTTGATGAGATCCTTGGTATGCTGGGATATTGTTTTTTTATGCAATACACTGCACTTTTTATATGGTTTTAAATCGTGTTCTGAAACCTTTTTGTAATGAAAACTTTTTATTTCACAGTAAATGCCGCAGACAATAAGCAAAGGGACCCAAACATGACATGTATTAAAGTCATCATTGACCCGTAAGTTATTTCAAGTGTGATATACATTTTTAAATCCTTTATATTAAGTTCACTTGCTTGCTTGCTTAGGACCGTGCAAATCTTTCGGTCGTTTTTTAACCCATTTCCCATGATCCAATCGAGCTGACATTTTCCACACAGACTCGTTGTGCGTGACAATTAATGTTCGTGAAATTTTTTTTCCAAAATTGTACACTTTTTAGGACAAAAATATTATATTTAATTACCAATTGCTTAATGCTGCCATGCAATCATCTGACCCATAGGTGGCAGCCATCTCAAGCCAGAGGACGAGAGGACTCTAGCCGCCACGCATATAAAGGATTTATAGTGAAAAACATTGTTTTTACGGGTTATACTTGTATAGTCTTGCAGTAGGTGCACTGAAAATGTGCAAATGGTTGTACAGTGGTACCGTGGAGATCAAACTTAATTCGTTCCAGAAGGCCATGCGAACACTGATTTGTTCAAACACCGAATTAATTTTCCCCATAAGAATTAATGTAAATGACATTAATTGGTTCCAGAAACAAGAAATCTCTCATTATAAAGCATTTTTACACGAAGTTTACAGTAATTACATGCATAAAATCATACAAAAAAAACAAGAAACAATAAATAAATGGACTAAATGAACTTTGAACTTCACTTTACCTGTAGTAAGGAGAGTTGATGGCTTGAGTGGAAGGTGGTGAGGAGGAGGAGGTGGTAAAACCTTTGTGTGGGCAAGCGTCATGCATGCTGGCCATACGCGTCCTAGTCGTACAGGTTCTTTCAAGTCGCCATTGCTCGTTAGACCTCCGAATTTTGTTCGGTTTCCGGGGCAAATTTTTTGTGGAAATATCGTTCGAACACCGATTTGTTCGAGTTCTTCTGGTGCGTTCGATCTCCGAGGTTTTACTGTACTTGTGCATGTGGGTGGCGTGCAGGGAAAACAACAAAATCAGTGTGTGGAACAATGGAAAGGGAATCCCGGTGGTGGAACACAAGGTGGAGAAGGTGTACGTGCCTGCGTTGATCTTCGGACAGCTGCTCACCTCAAGCAATTACGACGATGATGAAAAGAAGGTCACAGGTATGGCTTGATTGTGTTTATCAAGATACCGGTGAGGAATGGCAACACTTAGTCAGAAAAATACTGCACGTTAAATGTAGGTGACATCCATTAACTGTTTATGCTGTGGAATGTGCTTAGAAAGTTATTAAAGCACAACTTGTGAAAAAAACTAACGGTAACAATGTTTCCTTTCTTTTCAGGTGGGCGAAATGGTTACGGAGCAAAATTGTGCAACATCTTCAGCACTCAATTTACTGTAGAGACATCGTGCAGTGAATCTAAAAAGATGTTTAAACAGGTACCAAACGCGGATACAAAAAGTACAATAACAGTGAGGAGGTTACTCATTGTAGTGATGCACATTCCAGGAAAGGTGCAGTGGTTCACACACTGCTCAATGAACCCAGCAACCTGAGTCTTTCCTGGCCATGGCTAACATTAGTGGCAAGTGATATCTGAACCAGTCCTGTACTCCCGTTTTCAACCAACAATGACCATCGTTGTGACGTGTGATCAAATAAACCCCATTACAGACAAGGCATTGGCAGCCTTTCAATCTAGTCTTAATTATTCTGTTTAAATATTGCCTGATGGGATGGCTCAATAAATTACACACATGGTGGATTTGTGGCCAGTTTGATTTGGATGCACACTGCTTAGACCCATGTTAATGTTTGCACAAAAAAACAGTTCATTTCTCTTCAGCTTTTTCTGTTCAATGATTTAATTTAACAAAATGTTGTTTTCACAGAAATGGATGAATAACATGTCAAAGGAATGCGACTCTGTGATCAAGCCCAGCAGTGGAGACGACTTCACATGTATCACCTTTCAACCAGACCTAACCAAGTTCAGCATGACCATACTGGACAAGGACATCATTGCAATCATGACACGGCGTGCCTACGATATAGCTGGAATCTGCAAAGGGGTCAAGGTTTTCCTCAATGGCCAGAAATTGCCTGTAAGAAACTTTGAATTATATTTACTATCTGGGGCCATGCTCAATCATGGGTCTAGTTCTGGTTCATTGAGGCTATTGTGTTGTCTAAATTACTAAATATTTGTCAAATACAATACAGGGCTGACAGTTAATTTTTTTTTGAGCATCACAGTAAATGACATCACCCCCACCCCTTCTTCCTCAGCTCACTGGCTTCAGGAAATACGTGGACTTGTACCTAAAGGACCGTGTGGATGAATCGGGAATGCCACTACAAGTGGTGCATGAGGTTGTGAGTAACCGCTGGGAGGTGTGCCTCTGCATAAGTGAAAAGGGTTTCCAGCAGGTCAGCTTCGTCAACAGCATTGCCACCACCAAGGTACGTAGGTCGCAAGCCAACCACTGTATATGTGCTTATGTTGACTGGGAAGCACGCATGCTCGCCTTTCCGGTTTTGATGCAGTTATTGGGGTAAGAAGGCAATAATTTGGTGAGTCAAATTTTGTGTCCTTTATATGTGTAGGGTGGACGACATGTGGACTATGTAGTGGATCAGGTGACAAGCAAGCTCATTGAGACGGTGAAGAAGAAAAACAAGGCTGGCATTGCTGTGAAGCCTTTCCAGGTAATTTATTGACATAAAAAAAATGTCTTATCTCATTTGGAATGAATGTCTCACAAGATTTAACATCATAAGCCATGTTCAATCCACTGCTGACATGTCCCATACATGGGCTCCTTTTATTCATCCATCTTAGATGCATTGCTACTTTTTTTTTGCTTTTTAATTAGTGTTTGTCCTCTTGTACGTTTTCCTATCTCTGAATGTAATTCCCAACATGCTTCTCTCCACGCTTCCTTCTGTGTTCTTCAGGTCTTATTCCGTTTTCTTTTGTCATTGTCCACTTATACGATTATCTGAAACCACAAAAAAGCATGTTGAAAAAAGGACAGATGTGAAAATCTAAGAAAATTCCACAAATACACAACTCTATATAACCCTGAGGGATACATTGAAAGACCATGATTATTGAAGGTGTCATAACAACCAATGGGAGCATAAAAGTGGCAAAAAGGAGGTTGTTTATTGGTAAAGCACATAACACTTTCAAGATGGAAGTGACTGCCTATGTGGTTGTAAATATGTATGCAATAATCTGATTACTTTAAACCATTAAAACGGATGGCTTATTCTGTATCCTCCATTCTATGTAGGTACATCATAAGTGTTTAATAGCTTAAGTTACACTTTTTGTATTATCTTTTTGGTTTATCCAAGATACCCCCCCCACATTATTCCGGATAATCAAATGTTGACTATTTGATGGAATTATTGAAGGTAGAACAGGATCAAAATGATGGATGGGGGTGAGTGAGAGCAGGTTTGGAGTGCTTTTTAAAAAATGCATTTGAATATGAAAAGCAGCATACCATTGTGCCAAAAGAGGAATGTTTCAAACACCAGCATACAACATACATGTTACATGAAATAACTTAAAGGGCCCAATGATATCAAACAAATTAAAACAATATTGCGTTGTATGTGTCTTTTAGGTCAAGAACCACATGTGGATATTCGTGAACTGCTTGGTGGAGAACCCCACGTTTGACTCCCAGACGAAGGAAAACATGACCTTGCAGCACAAGAAGTTTGGTTCTACCTGTTCCCTCTCCGAAAAGTTCATCAAGACGGTAAGCGAAGTGGTGTAGACTTGGCAGATTAGTGTTTTGTTGGTTGATAAATTTCTCACATATATAACATTTTGATTCCCTTTTTAGGCTCTTTTGTTCAGTCATATGTAAGCCATTGATATATTTGCCAATATGTGAACATGATTGGATATGACGTAATAACATTTACAAACATAAACTGCTGTTCTTAAAAAAAAAATCTTCAGTTTAATTCACCCATTGAGTTCTCACATCTTGTTGCAGGCAATGGGCTGTGGGATTGTTGAAAGCATTTTGAACTGGGTGAAGTTCAAGGCACAGTCTCAGCTGAACCAAAATTGTTCTTCAAAGAAGATGTCTAAGTTGCGGGGAATTCCCAAGCTGGATGATGCCAATGACGCAGGTATGCACAAGCCTTAAATGCCACCACACAGTACTGCTTGCATCTGTACTTGGCCGCATTTTGAGTGAACTGAACTTGTTTCGTCACAGGTGGAAAAAACTCCCAGAGGTGCACCCTCATTTTGACGGAGGGAGACTCGGCCAAGACCCTAGCGGTCTCTGGGCTGGGTGTTGTGGGGCGTGACCACTATGGAATCTTTCCTCTCCGTGGGAAAATGCTCAACGTGCGAGAGGCTTCTTACAAGCAGGTTATTGACTCGCCACACGGAAACTTGGGGTTCTCATTTACATCATCGAAGGTGCAATGTGTCAAGGGCAAAACATTGAAATGTGTAAACAAATATCGTAAATGAAGTAACCTTTTTGTCGCTCGGCAGATCATGGAGAACGCAGAAATCAACAACCTGATCAAGATCGTAGGACTGCAGTACAAGAAAAAGTATGACGATCCTGAATCGCTCAAGACTCTCCGCTATGGCAAGATCATGATCATGACAGATCAGGTAATGAGAGTTCTTGGCACTAAGATTGTTTTGCAGAAACCTGCTACTGTGGAAGCATTGCTGTAGTTTTTGTGCATTGCCTTTGTGTGTTTAGGATCAGGATGGCTCTCACATTAAAGGGCTTGTCATCAACTTTATTCACCACAACTGGCCATCCTTGCTTCAACATCGTTTCTTGGAAGAGTTCATCACCCCTATCGTCAAGGTGAGATGGTGACATTACCTTATCCTACTGATGATGCACACCAGGCAGTGGTATTGTTACACCCCACTGCAAACAGACTTCACCTTTGTAAAAAAAATCAAGTTTTCCACAAACCCCTGCTTTCATTGTTGTGACCAGGTGTCCAAAAACAAGCAAGAGTTGCCATTCTACAGCCTGCCCGAGTTCGATGAATGGAAGAATGAGACAAGCAATTACAAATCCTGGAAAATAAAGTACTACAAAGGTTTGTCCTTGGTAGCATGGCTCATTAAAGTAAGCTTCACAGTTCAATATACATTTGTTGTGCATGCACGATCTGCCTAAGATAGACGTTCTATTTTGCTTTGTCTTTAAACCTACCTTTGCAAATGTTGATGTTTAGCTTTCTTTTCGACATGCCAGGTCTGGGGACCAGTACATCCAAGGAGGCCAAAGAGTACTTTGCGGACATGAAACGCCATCGCGTCGAATTCCGCTACGCTGGCCCCGAGGATGATAATGCGATCACCCTGGTAGGTGTCCTGCCGTTGTCCCAATGGCAGCTGTTGTGACACATTTCATTTAAATACATGGTCAAGTGTGTATACGTCGTAAACAAATTTGGCATCTTTGACATTTGAAAGTGATTGGCTCTTCTGTATTCTGATGTCCAAGCAGTAAGGGTGTTAACATGAACATATCTGATATGCATTTGTAGGCCTTTAGCCGGAAGAAGATTGAGGACCGTAAGGAGTGGCTGACGAACTGGATGGTGGACCGTCGGCAGCGACGGGAACAAGGGCTCCCCGAGGTACCAGACTCGGCTGCCATAGCCTCAAAATCCTACACCTTGCCACTGTGCGTGAATGCTTGTTGCTAAATGACGCTAATGTGCAGGTCCAGCAATTATAAACTGTTTGTTTGTTTTTTCAGTCTTTCCTTTACGGGAAACAAACTTCTCACCTGACGTACAACGACTTTATCAACAAGGAGCTGATCCTCTTTTCGAACTCGGACAATGAGCGCTCAATCCCTTCTCTTGTTGATGGTGAGTGTTTTGTCTGCACCAATTATTAGCTCTTTGAATTAGGTTCTGTGGAACAGTTTCTGTGTTTCATTAAAATTACATGTGATCCTAAACTAGCAGGAAGTACCTGGCTTTGCCCGGGGGAAAAATATATTTCAAAACGTGTCTTCCATTTGTCCATCAACAAAATAAAAAAAGAGGCTTGCAGAAGTCCTAAATCAAAAAGTAATAGAAAGTCGGGGGGTGGGGGTAATTAGTTCTAATAGGTTTCCAAAAATTATCGACCCCCCTCCAACTTTTGTTTTACCCCCCCCAGCCAATTTTCATTTTGTAGATCTATATACTGACACACCCTACATACAATAGTAAGTCGTATCTCGTGACTATAGTAGTATCTGGCTCTACAATAGTATCTACTAACTATAGTAGTATCTGCCGACTAGTTGTTGTCTACTGACTGTACAGTAGTATCTACTGAGTACACTTTTACCTACTGACTCTATAGTAGTATCTTGCTGACTATAGAAGTATCTGCTGACTCCATAGCAGTATCTGACTCTATAGTCGTGTCGACTGACTGTAGTATCTACTTGCTCAACAGTAGCTTCTACTAACTATAGTAGTATCTACGGATTGTTCAGATTGGATCTACCGACGCTACAGTAGGTAACTGCACACATTGGGGTGAGGGGGAGAGAACAGGACATCACACTGTTCAGGATCTACCTCAGCGTGTGGTTGTGCAGCAGTAACAGTGCTTGATTTTTTTCTTTTTCGCATTTTTAACGTGAAGTAGAAGCTCCCTCCCGTTGCCGCAAGCTCGTGCATTGCTAGGGGCAACCGCGAGTCGGCGTTTCCGCGCATGCGCAGATGCGTGTTTTGGCGCTGCGATCAGCGTAAAAATAAATTGTTATAAAGTGTTATTTTATTAGTTTACATTTGACCAAGGGCAAAAACAAAAAGCGTTTTCGTCCAGGGCCTTTAGTGTATTGTATCTGTGTACTTTGTTAAAAGGTAAACCCAACAGTTTTGTCAGCTAAAAGCGTTGCGAGGATAGGTGTGCACAGACAGACAAAATAACGTTTATAGGTAAGATTATGAAGTGATGTCAGTAAATGTAACACTCTTTAAGGCACATCCTTGCATGCCCTTTATGTACTGTCATAGGTTTTAAGCCTGGGCAGAGGAAAGTACTGTTCACGTGCTTTAAAAGGAATGACAAGCGGGAGGTGAAGGTCGCCCAGCTGGCAGGTTCAGTGGCTGAGATGTCTGCTTACCACCATGGCGAGGTTTGTGACTCGCCACCACCTTTTGCGTCATGCTCGCATCTTGACACTGCATTGTTGTGAAACTTTAATGAGTGATATGGTCAATGTAAATTTAACAATTTGTTTTTGTGTTGCAGCAATCGCTCATGATGACTATCGTCAGCTTGGCCCAGAACTTTGTTGGCAGCAACAACATCAATATCCTGCAGCCCATCGGCCAATTTGGAACCCGGCTAAATGGCGGCAAAGATGCCGCCAGCCCTCGATACATCTTCACCATGATCAGGTGGGCTACCATATGTCGCCACGTCACTAGCCATCACAGGCGAGGGTCTCAGCAATCATTTCAAACCCCATTGGCATAGTCCTTAACCAGTGCCTGTGTTGCTTTCCAGCACGGTCGCTCGTCTGCTGTTTCCACCCGTGGACGATAACCTGCTCAAGTTCCTGTGGGATGACAACCAGCGGGTGGAGCCCGAGTGGTACTGTCCGATCATCCCCTTGGTGCTGGTGAACGGTTCTGATGGCATTGGCACAGGCTGGGCCTCCAGAATCCCCAACCATAACCCACGTGAGATCATCAACAACATCCGCCGCTTGCTTGATGGAGAAGAGCCTCTGCCTATGGTGAGTGTGGCACCCTAACCAAGCTTTCTGTGGGAAAGGTGGCCCTGAAAACGATTGCAGGCTGAAGAAACTCCAGCCATTTACCCAGTATTTTGCTCTTTATTCATGGCCTTGTGAAGAGGCAGGATATTAGGTCTTTACACTTTGTGTAATAAAGATGAAGCCGGTGTAAATGTTGCAGCATAACTGAAACTGCCTTGTGTTTGGCTATGTGGAGTGCAGCTGCCATGGTACAAAAATTTCAAGGGGTCCATCGATGAGCTGGGTCCCAACCAGTTCATGTTGAGCGGTGAAATTTCCATCCTGGACAGTGAGACCATTGAGATCTCGGAGCTGCCTGTACGCACTTGGACTCAGGTGAGCAATACTGGAACAGTGTATCAAGTATTCATATGGTAACATAAAATATCTATGCAATACTCAATATTTATCTTCCTGCTTTAATATGTTTTTATCATATGTGCATATGCCTATCCATTGTGCCGGGCACTTGTTGGAGAAGTCAATTATAAGACCACGTATTTCTCTCCCCTGGCAGACGTATAAGGAGTCGGTGCTGGAACCCATGCTCTCTGGCACAGACAAGACTGCGCCACTCATCACGGACTACAAGGAGTACCACACGGACACCACAGTGCGCTTCATTATCAAGATCAGCCGGGAGAAGCTGTTGGAGGCAGAAGCAGCGGGCTTGCACAAAGTGTTCAAGCTACAAGCACCGCTCACCTGCAATTCAATGGTACTGTCTGATGCCACGCATTCACCACATTGCTCAGGTTCTCACTTTCAAGGCAATGGAGAAGACATGTTGGTTGACTTTACTCGATGGTTGTGCTTTTGAATGCGCAGGTGCTTTTTGACCACCTTGGTTGCTTGAGGAAGTACGAGTCCGTTGCCGATATCCTGCGCGAGTTCTATGAGGTGCGTCTCAAGTACTACAGCTTGCGCAAGGAGTGGCTCAATGGTATTCTGGGAGCAGAGTCGGCCAAACTGAGCAACCAGGCACGCTTCATCCTCGAGAAGATCGAGGGAACGGTGGTCATCGGTCAGTGCTGCCTCTGCTAAGTTTGACTGCACCACTCTTCCAATGCTCTGTAATTGTGAATCTTGGTTTTTTTCGCATTTGTAAGGGTCCACAGCAGGTGGTAGTGCTTAATGACTTGACCACATGCATAATAAACACCGAAAAACACTGATCATTAACACTTGACACCTGCAGAGAATAAACCAAAGAAGGAGCTGATTCGGTTGCTGGAAGCCCGAGGGTATGATTCTGATCCCATCCGTGCCTGGAAGGAGGCTCAAATGAAGGTGAGCAAAGGGGGCTTATGTTTCAATTTACTCATACAGTGCCTGTTTACATTCCGCATAATGTTTGCAAAATGTAATATTATGAGCAATTGGAATTGGCTGACAACAATTTGATCTTTTGCAGTCAAATCTTGAAGAAGAGCCAAACAGTCAAGAGGACAGCGACGGTGGAGAAGAGTCGTCAGCTCCGTCATCTGGACCTGACTATAACTACATCCTCAACATGGCGCTCTGGTGTCTGACCAAGGAGCGCAAGGACGAACTGTTGCGGCAGAGGGATTTGAAGGTGTGTAGTGGTTATTGAAATGATCGTCAGCATTTTCCTTTGATTATTAGAACAATTAGCAACTTAACAGCACTAACAGAAGCCATTTCCATTGTTAAAATCTGCACAATTTTTTTGACAGATTCAAGAGCTGGAGAATGTGAAGTCCAAATCACCATGTGATCTGTGGAAGGACGATTTGGCAGTATTTGTGGAGGAGCTGGATGTAAGTAATCAAACTTTTCTTGTCAGGAACCCACATTTCATTTTGGCAGCAAGCATTGCGCTGCATTGTAACTTGGTTCACTAGGTGTGTCAGACACAGAATGATATACTTGGGATTATTGGTGCGCATCAGATTATTGGTGCTCATATTGTTTACAACTTGGTTTTTTAGTTTACATTTTTGTTACTATCAAACGACACCACATTTGTATGTGTAGATGTGCAGTGATATAATTGTTTTTTAATTGTCCTGCAATACACAACTTGGACACATCATGTCCAGTTACAATGGCAATAAATTGGACAGCACTGGTATTTCAGCGGAACACCGCAGGTAACAGCGGCACATATATGCATAGATGGGTAGAAGCTGTGGAATATGACTTCTGACACGTGCAGCTACTGAGTTACCCATCCCAAATGCTCTGTCAGCGTGTGGAGGCCCAACAGCACAAGGATGATATTGCTGATATCATGGTCAAGGGTAAAGGTGGCCAAAAGAAAGCGGGCGCCAAGAGCCTGACTTTGAAGGCGGAGGTGGTGCCCTCACCACACGGTCGACGTATCGTGCCGGTCATCACTGCTGCCATGAAGGTCGCTCGCAAAAAAATTAAGGTGAGGGGTCCATTCAAAAGGCAAAGTTGGTGGAAGAATAAACTTAGAAGAGGAGCAGACACCAAATGTGTTTAGTGTGTGATTGTGTGGGAGCCGTAGCGGTTAGCGCGCTGGGCTACGAACCCAGCGCCCCGAGACTGATTCTCGCTCACAGCCAACACCTGGACGATTATCTGAACTGGTCCTGGGCCTCCCCTAGATCGACTCGGCCTCAAATGAGTACATCGTGCTGTGTGTAAACATCGCCATTAGGGAGACAAAGGTGGTCGGGCGTGGTGCTGGTCACCCCCTTGTGTACTGTTCCGGGCTTCATAGGTGCTCTCTAACATCACTTGCCCAAACAGTCTGTTAAAGATACATGTGGGTCTTTGTGTGCTTAATGGGGAGCAGTAGTGCAATGGTTAGCATGCGGTGCTATGAAACCCGATGACCCGGGTTCGATTCTCATCCACGGTCAACACCAGTGACGATTATCTGAACCGGTCCTGGGCCTCCCCTAGGTCGACTCGGCCTCAAGTACCTGGTGCAGTGTGTAAACGTCGCCACTAGGAAGACAAATGCGATTGAGTGTGGTGTTGGCGACCCACCCCCTCGTGCCATGCCAGCCTTCATAGGTGTACTACTCGCTTAACAGTACTTGATCCAACAGTCTGTTACACTGGGGGATCTTGTTTTGTGCTCCAGACTGATCGCGACGGGCCCGCAGAAACAAAGTATGATGAGGATGGAAATGAGCTGCCGTCAATCTCTCCCGATGAGGGCTCTAATCTCACAAAACGTGTGGCAAAGAAACCGAAGGAAAAAGGTTGGTGATCCACTCATGACCATCGCAAGCAGCCAGTAATTAAGCCAAGATTTTAATGCATAAGTAAATAAGTCCTAGAAATCACTTTTTAAAGTCCAGAGAATTCTAATTGTTACTTAATATACAATGTTTGGCGGTACTAAGTTAACTGCTGTCCACAGATGGGAAGAAGCAAACAACACTGTCCTTCAAGCCAACAGTCAAAAAGGAGACCAAGAAAAATCCATGGTCCGAATCCGATTCGGAGCTTGATCTGAGCAATCTGTCTTCTGAGGACATTAAGGTGCCCTCCAGAGATGCCAGGCCTAAGCGTACCGCTGGTAAGCAATGGTTGTGTGAAACTAGAGTTACTGTGCCCTTTAAAAAAAGTCTATAATATTAAACAATTATTATTTGACTTATAAAAGCCTCATGGAGCATGAAGAATTTCTAGTGAAGTCCTGATTTAGGATTTTGGACTTTAATTTTTTTTGCAAATGGGAAACTGAAGTGACCAAAGGAAAACTCATGTTGAAAAGGAGAACATTCCATCTTCACATGCATAGGTTGTAAACCTTGAGGCTATGTTGCCTTCTCTATGTTTTGTCTGCAGTTAGGTGTAAAATGCAAAAGCCATATACAGTGGTACCTCGGTATACGTTGTTAATTCGTTCCAGAAGGTGGTAGGACTTATACCGAAAATTACATGTACAAAACGAATTTTTCCCATAAGAAATAAAGGGAAAGGAAATAATCCGTTCCAGAGTATAAGAAATGATATTTTATATGGCATATTACACATTAATGGGGTTGTATGAAATAATTTAGGCACTACTTATTACTGAAATGCATACATAAATTAAAATAAATGCATAAATAAATTGAAATAAAATGTAACATCACTTTACCTTGATGAGAGGAGTTGATAGCCTACGAGGATGGTGGTGAGGAAGGGGAGGAGGAGGAAATGTGAATATTCACAGAGTTCTAGCAAGGGTTGTGCACTGAACGAGATCTACTGTACAGGCAGACTGAGGAGCGGCGCTTTGTTTCGGTCGTGAACGGGGTAGACGCGGGTACGCAGTGACTCATCTCGACCCATACAATTCTCGCAAGCGCGTCGTATCCCAAGCAAGACGTATCCCAAGACTTTTTCTCTCGTCAAAACACGACGTATACCAAATTCGACGTATTCCAAAGCGGTCGTATACCGAGGTATGACTGTATGTGTAAACTAGCCTTTTGCCCTTCCAAGGACAGGTGGATTGCAGTGTATCTGAAACAGAGGTCGCAAACGGGTTTTGTTTCCTTACCCGTACCCGGCCGCACCAGGGTCGCAAATGGGTACCCGTACCAGGCCGGGTACGGGTACCCGTTCCCTACCCGTACCCTACCCGAAATGAGTGACAAACGGTTACTCACCAGTGACTCACGGCCTACCCGTACCCGGCCGCACCAGGGCCAGGTATCGGGTAGGGTACGGGTATCGGGTACCCGATTGCGACCTCTGATCTGAAACTTGCAAGCGAAAAGCAGACCGCGACGTGATATTCATTGCATGAATTAGTGTGCAATTTGTAGGCGCGCGGTGACACAGACCGATTTCATTTTAAGGTTATAATCCCTTATTCATCATGGCGTCCTTTTTACTTTTATGTCTCAACAGCGTTGCGGAGATCACGTGATGTGAGGGTTGTGCCTTTGTAGTAGTGAGGGTTGTAAGTTGATGCCGAGGAGGGGGGAGGAGGCGCCTCGGGCCCCTCATGTGGAGTGACGTCAGCCGCTAATTATTTTGAATGGGGCAGGGGCATTTGGAGGACGTCACCTGTAAATGATTATTAATGAGGGAGGAGGGTGCTCCATGTGAAGTGACGTCACATGCTCATGATTGTTAATGAGGGGGGGATCATGTGGAGGACGTAACCTGTTCATGATTATTAATGAGGGGGGGCTGGTCGACGTGGAGTGACGTCACAAGCGTTAAGGACAGACATTCCTGGGCGATTTATATGTGTGAATGAGCACACATCACTGCCACCACACAATAATCTATGACTGAGAAAAAAAAGCACAAGTACAGCAGGGAAATAATTTTTGTCTGGTCTGTAATGTAACCTTTTTGTTCCTGTGTAGCCGCACAAAATTTTAAGTTTGACAGCACAGATGAAGAGGGGGACCCGCAGATGCCAACGTCGTGCCACGGCATGGACAACAGCAGCGACAGTGAGGACGCGTTTCTGTCCATTAAGCAGGCCTTGCCGGCGCCAAGGTGAGCACAACCCCCCCCACCTCATGCAAGCTCACGCCCAGTCCTCGCACCACAAGCTGGGCTTGATTTGCTTTAAAACACGGCCACATTTTAGTTTTGTGTGTACATTTTTAGGCGATTTCTTTACCTTTCCTATACTTTGCACTCCTATCGTGTTCTTGTATTGTTTGTTGTAACGTGTTTTCCCACCTCTCGCTGGACATCTGTGAAAAAGAGCTTTGGCTCATCGTTTTCCTCCAGTCTAAATAAAGATTCTGATTTTGAAAACCACCACACATGGCTAATTAAATTCCGGTTACTAATTGCAAAATGCTTTAGAAAATGTCTGAATGTAGCTATGCAATCCAACATAGTGGAATACTCGACCAACAAAAATATAAAAATACTTTTAATGCATCCCACTGGCCACATGGCCTTGGAGCACACTTTTCATCAGCATTGGTTTCATGCAAGAAAACCCTGGACCAGTTTTGACAATCAGCATAAGTGTGCTTAAATTAAATTCTGAACTGCCAGATTAATATAGGAAAGGACCTTGTTTTATATATGGTCTATTTCAATGCAAAACAATTTAGACTACCGGTGTCATCTATTTAATGGTTTCAAAAAGAAAGCTTTACCATTGTACCAATTTACATTGTTAGTAATGTATTGTTGTGTTCGACGGCGAGCTATATGCTGACTGCTCGGCTTGAGGGTTGGTGCTGAGATCACATTTTAAATTGAATCCAGCATATAGTGGTGTTCACTGGACTGTAGGTGCTAACAAGGTGGTATGTCTGTGTTTGCAAAAAAACAGCAGACAAAAGAAAGTGACAGAGAAATCTATGGACTGCAAGCCGAACGGCACAAACTCCAAACCTGCCACAAAGAAAGATATTGAATCCAGTGAGTGATGTTTGATATGAATAATGAATGTTTTCTATTAATGCCTTGTAATGTGTATAGAGTGTATCGTGCAGTGTAAGCTGTTCATGCAGCATGTTAATGTGATAGCATTTTGGTATAATAATTAATCACTATTGGGAATCAGTCACGCAAATGGAGATTGACAACTTGGTGAATCGTTTGACACCTGCGGACACTGACACCAACAAATAAAAATGTTTAGTCACGATGTCTCCTGAATGATGATTGTATTTGCTTGTAGTCGACATGCTCCTGGATTCTGATGAGGACTTGATTGAGATCACCAAAGCAGCAGTGAAAGCAAAGCCCGCAAGCAACGCCACCACTAGTAAGGGCTCTAAAACCACTGCCAAAAAAGGTATCGTTCTATTCTTACTTTCTTTTAATGACACATTCTTAATATTATTTGGTTCTGTATGTTGTATAAGTATAACATGGCAATTTTGTAATTTTATTCACAAAACAGACGAATTGAAGAGTTAACTTTATCCATAAGAGGTTTTTTTGGATTAGATCGCGTAAATTTGAGTGTCGTTAAACCTGCCACCACCCGACAACCAATTTAGTAAGGTTTGTCATGTAAACGTGACAATTCGTTACTGGTTTAGCACACCGGTGTGTTGGAGAGTAAACCCACAACATTTACAATTCGAGTACAATCTAACCCAAAAAAACCTAATGGATGTTGGTCGCATAAGGCCTACGTGTTAAGTTAAATCTGTCCATGTTTTCTGAAGCTTACCATCGGTTGCTGTGTGCCAGGTGACGCCAAGCAACCGACCATCCTGGCTGTTATGTCCAAAGCAAAAGCCAAACCGAAAGCAAGTGGCTTTTCCAGCTCGGAGGGTGATCTTGAAAAAACATCCAAGGCAGCCGTGGCAGGTAAGCCGTGGGCCTAATATGTGCAGCCCATTAATTATGTGGCCACTCAATGACTTCGGTTTTGCATGCATGAAGAATTTAACAGCAGTAGCATTAGCGGACACTTTGTACCAATGCGACTTTGAAAGTCAGTTGGGTGTTGTTACAAAAATGGAATTGATTTTGCAGTTATTGCATGAAAATTGTGAATGTTCTGCACAAGATGGCACCATATGTCCAACTGACATCCTCAATACACTTTAATGTATATGAAAGAGGCCTGTCCAAAATTAATATTGTCGCCAAAAAAAACAACGGAGATTTCCCAATTTGAAAATGTATGCCGTCACCGACTCCTGAAATTTGTGCATTGTAAACAATATGACCTTTTGGTTTCAAAGGACTTGTTTTTCATGTAAGGATGTCTGGAAGTTTGAAGTCTTACATTTTCCATGATGTTTTTTTTTTATTACAATGTTATTCATCGTATCGATTAACATTGCTTGTGTTTGAAACCAATAGGTGGTGCAAAGAAGCGAAAGGTGCTTGACGATTCAGACAGCAGCCCTGATCGAGTCAAGCAAAGGTCCACGGCTCAACAGGTTTGTTACCTCTGGCCCAAACTGTTGTTTGTTGAAGGGAATATTAATATAGGATGGTGCCGAATTGGGGTTGTGCAATCTGTAGGTTGGCCGGTGATAATTTTTTTCTACAACGCTTAAGCTTTGTGGGTTTGTTTGTTTGTTTCTTGTTTTGCTGTAGAAGAAGAAGGTGGGGATGGATGATAGTTTCACACTCGATGACGACGTGCTGCTCGATTGCAGCCCTGTACAAAAGGGGCCCCGAGCTGCTCGCGCCAAGAAGGCCGTCAAGTACAACTTCTCTGATGACGAGTCTGACCCCCAGTCGGACTTTTGAGGCCGCAAGAGGGCGCTGACTTACGTCTGTTGCTCCGGATGTCAAAAAGCACAATTTCATATAGATTCGTGTGTACGTACGTACAAATGTAATGGTTAGTAGCAGGAAAAACTTTCTATACATTTGCGTCAATTGAAGTGACATTTTTAAAATATAGTATTAAAGGTGAGGTTGCTCACAGGCTGGTCTCGCTGAGCAAGCGAGATGCGGTTCACGAAAGTTGCTCGTTAAACGAAAACTCGTCATGGTTTTCCCATCGACTCCCACGTTAAAAGCAGACTTGCGGTTCAATTCCCATCATATTTCACTCTTGAACACCTTTTTTTAACGTGAGAAAAGCAAATGAAAAATTTTAAGTGACGTAATAAAACATAAAATTTAACACTTACCACACACATGAAAAACCAGTGCTTGCAGATGTATGTTGAACGTCTTTCACACTGTACATAGCCAACCGTGATAATCGGAGGTGCCAATGAATGTGCCTCCACCTCTACCCCCCCCCCACCCACCTCTTTCCCCCACCTCCCCACCCCTCTTGACATGCCTGTATATTGTGACTGAAAAACAGCATTCTTGCAAGTCTTCCATTCTGTAAACCTTTCTTCACTACTCCTTGAGATGTTGTTCTCTCAGTTTGTGTCTCAGTCTTTTCTCCAGCAAACTTTTTAAGTTGTTACTCTTTATAACTTTTACTTTTTGAAAAATAAACACGTTTTTTTGTGTACATTATTGTGTGCTGGATGAGTGACTTTGCACCTGGCCATGTTGGCTGCAAGTATCGGGGCCAGATTACACCTTTTTTTAAATCATTAATCCTAATATGTTAAAATGAAATAAGTAATAGTTCCCATAGATTTTCACAAAATTATGACCTTCAACTATTTTCCAGGTTGCAATCATGTCACTGTGCTGTTTATTAAATATAACTTGGATAACAATACTTATTTGAAAGTCAGATTTGGCCAAAATTTACATTTTAATCTTAAAAATACTCAAGTAAATTTCATATTACAATGAATAAGGTGGATTAGCATGCTCAAGTTAAGCACCAGATAAGTAACTCATTAATTCAGTCAACCAGTGTTCCAAATGTTCTGTAATGACCAACCATAACATTTCTTGAAGTACATTAAGATAAATATACTTTATTTTTCTGTTGATAGGTTGAGAAAAGTTGCAATGTTTCATCTGAACTTCGGGACTTAGCTAAAGTATATACAAATGACCACAAGTGACTCAAATCTACAAACCAATAAATCCTATTTCTGTTATGGCAGTTTACATGTTTTCAGCAAATATGAGAATACACGTGGTGACACAGCGGCCTACTGAATCAGAGGGCTTGACAACATACAAAACAATGCTCCACGCAACCCCTTCTTTCACAACATTCATCTATGAAGTGAGGGTTTGCATAAAATGGTGAACGCTTTTCAAAACCCTGCTTGTGACGAGTGTAAACATACGGTAGTGAAATGCCTTGGCGTATTAAAACAAAAAATGGGGGAAGTCGGTTACAAAGTTTTTAGGATTCATGATTACAATTTAATGTGAGGAAGTAGAAAAGTGGCTAATTTAAACTTTTCCACAAAATCCTTCAGTGTAGTAAAATACATGTGCTCAAAATACTTGCAAATTATTCATTAAATTAAGACTACTCGTCGGCGTAAGACCTACATGACGTGCTCGTGAATACTTGAAAAGGCAAATATGTTACAGTCCCATGGCAACAGTCGTTACACTGATCTTAGACATCCCTCCGTCCTTCACGACCTGAAGGAAGGCATAAAACATCACAAAATGACATTTCCACCCCCCCCCCAACCTTTTTAAAAGTACAACTCATAGATACAAGACATCTGAAAGATTCAATAAAACAGTAGTTTGCGAAACATTTCATTTGATATTTTTTTTTCATTTTTCAAAATCGGTACAAAAATATTAAAGTGACTTGTGTTTTGGAAACAAAAAAATTATTACTTTCATTTATTTACCGTCGGAACATGAACAAGCAGCCCTCTAAAACTGCAGTAATGTTTCGGCTCAACCTAACTTTGCTTCTCGCACTCATAGCTGAATGTAATACTCTATAAATGCTGGTGTTGACAAAGCTCTTGCCTGTGTGGGTGGGAAAGACCCAGAGGGCGTTTCCACATTCTCCTGTGAATTCGCATTCAGACCTCCCAAACTAATCTGGTTTGCATACAAAATAATTACGCCTTATCTTGTCTACCTATTATGTCCGGTGTAAATGATGTAATCCCAGACTTGTCATTTGCGGCCAATTTGTGTTAATCCACAATAAACATTGCACCTTTAGTGAGACTTGAAAAATACATTGAAGAAAAGACATTGGTCAACCAATTGCCCAGATGTATTATTTATTAAAACAAATGCACTATTAACTGAACTTCAGAAAGCATTAGAAAACAATTGTTTAACTAAAGCAGTGCTTTTCATTAAAAAAAAGAATGCTCGTAATTTCTTCATGTGTTCAAACTTGGGATATTCAACCGTTCTCACTAAATCTTTCCAATGTGACAACTGAATTGGCTCCACACGTTTGCTGCTGCAAGATGTGAAATTGTGCAACAGTACAAACATCACCTTCATGTGCACGTTTAACATTGCTGGAAAACACTTCCTGGAGCCGTCTTCTGCAACGTATCTCCCAGTGGCCAAAATCCCAACGAACCCGCACGTATTTTTAATGACGGGATTTTGAAAAAGTTCACACTCATAAAACGTTCTTAATTATATGGAGCCGTTGGCTCAAACAATTAACAGTCTTATAAAACAACGCTTTTTCTTCCTCTCCTTTTGAATCGACCTTGAAAAGTTTCGCTCGCTTGCGACAGAAAGGTCAACTTCCTGCACGAGTCCAATTGCTTGCGGCTCTTCACCGTCGCGCGGGGCATCAGTTGCCGGCCACGGGAGGGGTCTGCGAGATCTTGGAGCTCGTCTTCTGCGCGAGCGCCAGTCCTTTCCCGTGCGGCGCGACGTGCGCCGGCTCGGGCGTGCCGGCCGTGGGCGGCGTGGCCTCGGGCGTGCCTGGGCTCGAGCTTCCGCTGGTCGTGCACCCCGCCTCCGAGCCGTACGAATTTTCCAGCATCTCCTGGATGAGGGGAGGCATGGAGCCCGGAATCTCCATCTTCAGCGTGATCACCCGCTCCGTACCTGCCGGGGCACAAGCGAGAGAGCGGGCGCAACGGGCGGTTCGGATGGATAGCGGGGTGGGGGGGTGGGGGCGATGATGCCTGTGGCGCCGCGGCAACCTTGCGCAGCATGTGGGCATAGGACCACCCCTGTTGTACATAACGACCGTTCCGAGACATCTGCGAGTTGCAGGGTGGGTGTGCCGCTCACCGCTGAATCACAGAACGCCCAAGCGGTTAGCATTCGTTTTATTTAGAGAGGCTTAGTGCAATTGTTTTAAAAGACATTGTACTCACCGCAAAGAACTAACGACACGACCGCACTCTTAACAGCAAACACCAAACTGCCACACGCCCTCCCGCATGGTCCTGTGGGAGCCTCGATATCGATAGTTAATTAATTTTAGTTTTTTTTCTGGGTCATCGCAACAGGTTGACAGCTCACACTTAAGCGGGGCTATGGCATGGCCGACGATGGCAAAATCCTGTGGCCATTTGTATCAAATGCTCAAACTGATATTTCTCTTAGGTTTGACCATTTCAAGATGGCTCACACTTGAACCGTAACTGAAGGAGTGTTTGACACAACACCCCTTCTACGGACCGAACTTCCACCTGTTCAGCCGGTGGTGGCCGTGCCGCTTTGTGACGGCGAGCTCACCCTTGGCACTGATGCCGCGTAGGTCGGTGATCTTCATGAGGAGCTTGGGGAACATGTGTGGCTTGTCGGGTCGCCGCCGGCGCACGTACACCTTCATGGCTTCCAGCAGCGGCTCCTGTAGCCGCTCCACCTTCTCTGGCTCCTCCAGGTCCTGCCGGTCTGCGCGCACAAAAGACAAAGATCCCCCATATAGCATTAACAGACTGTTGGGGCAAGTGCTGTCAGCGAGCACCCATCCAGGCCAGCACGGCACACAAGCGGGTGGGTGGCTAGCACCACGCCCGGGCCGCCTTCGTCTCCCAAGTGGCGATGTTTACACACTTAACCAGGTGCTCATTTGAGGCCGAGACGACCTAGGGGAGGCCCAGGCCCGGTTCAGATATTCGTCACCGATGTTGGCTGTGAGTAGGAATCGAACTCCGGTCGCCTGGTTCATAGCGCAGTCCGCTTACCGCTGCGCCACCCTTTCCCAAGTGCTGTTATCGAGCACCGATTAAGGCTGACATAGCACATGAGTGGGTGGGTGGCCAGCGCCACGTCTCGCCGCCTTTGTCTCCCCAGTGCTGATAATTAATGTGTGCTAGGTGTTCATTTAAGACCCAATCGACCTAGGGAGAGGCCCTGATCCAGTTTCAGATATCTGTCACCGATTTTGGCTGTGAAAGGGAATCAAACTGGGGTCACCGGGTTCATAGGGCAGTGCGCCAACTACGACACTCCCCATGCATGCACATACACTTGCGCACCCATTGAAGCGCGCACACAAAGATCCACCGAATAGCCTTAACGGACTGTTAGGGCAAGTGCTGTTCGCAAGCACCTATGAAGGCCGGCATGGCACACGAGCCAGCACCACGCCCGGTTACCTTTGTATCCCCAGTGGCGATGTTTACACACTGCACCAGGTACTAATTTGAGGCTGAGTCGACCTAGGGGAGGCCCAGGACCGGTTCAAATAATCGGCACTGGTGTTGGTGGCCATGAGCGGGAACGGCTACACTGCACGAGCGGCCACGCTGTGGCCAGGGTCTGCCGGCACCTCCAGAGATGAGGCAGATGGCGGCGAGCAGGCCAGCCTCCGTGTCGTCCACACTCAGGGGCAGCAGCTGGTTGGCAAAGGTGAACACGAGGTCGGTGAGCGGCCCGAAGCCCGCGTTGTGCATCTGCGTGCGGTTAAGCGTCAGGCCGTCTGAGAACGTCATCGTGTCCTGCTCCGGGGTGTAGCGCGTGCAGATCCGCAGGATCTGGGGGGGACGGACGCCAAGACGGAGAGAGACAGACACACTTAGCTGCAGTGTTGCCACTAAAGAACATCCGGGTTTAAAGTACCTCAAGAATCAACGGTTCACGTTGAATCGAATCGGCACATTTCACGGCAGATCCACGTTCGTAAACGGAAGTTCATATTTTCGGCATGAAAATGTGGAAACGCCGATCGGATTGCATGAACTGGAGAGCAGTGAACCGCTGGGAACTCCGACATTTCAATGGAGGCATTGAAGCAACCCACCGCAGAGCAAACTGAAGCCTTCTTCCGGCTAACTTATCTGGGAGCAGACCTAGAAATTGCTCTTCATCCAGACAAAAGCCAGAGAGTGCTGCCACCAAGGCGAAGAGTTTATGAACTTGTCAGGGTCAGCGGCGAGCGTGGCGCTGGCTCGCTGACACAGCTGTGTCCGCAGTTGTGCGCTCACCGCCATGGATTGACACGGCCTGCAAATCCTCAATCTCTTAATCGATTAACAGTTATTTCGGTTCAAAGATACATTGTTGAAAATTCTCCCGTATTCACCTTTCTTGCTGAGCCGGTCTCAATAAACCCATTTTTTAAACGTGCACTTTTGAAAGGTGAATCCTTTGCTGGTTTTTTTTTGTTGAACTCCTCATCCTCGCGCGACCTTTGCTTCCTCAAGTTATAAGCGGAAGGACAAAAAGCACTTGAAGGTAAATCAACCGTAATATGAAGATGAGTAACGAGGGAAAGTATTAACCGGACACTGGTATGGTGAAGGAACCGGCGGCCTCCATCGTTCGTTGGTCCCCCAACCTTTCGACAACGCCCGCCACCCCAGCCGTGTCCGCGACTCGGACGACGTCGATGATTTTAAGCCGCGACTGAAAGCTTAACGTCTTACGCCATCGCCGGGCTCGGTGCAATGTCGTCTATTCATTTACGGAGACTCGACTCTTCACGTGAAGAGCGCTTTGTGATTTTTCAAAGCAAGGTACTCTACATTAATGAAGTAGCCCCTCGTTTAACGTTTTTAATCCGTTCCCCCCAAGACTACTGTGGACCGACATAACTGTTAATCGATTTCACTTATAAGTTGAAAAGTAAACAAAACTCACTGAGTCTGCGAGAGAACTGTTTCCACTGCCAAAACAGAAAAGGTGACAATGTATTTTTTTTATCTAAGTGACTTTACCGAAAGAACCAAAGACAATGTGAACAAAGCCAGTCGAGTTCTAAACGATCATAAATGGGCGTCGCTGATTGGCTGAGGGCATGGCTCAGCCCCACTTACGAGCACTCGGATTGGCCGAAATTGACACCCGCGTTCATAATGTAAAAATCCCGATAGTCAAAATGTTAACGTTAAACGATAACCGAAAAACCGTAAACCAATGTCACTATTAACCGAGGGACTACTGTATGTATTATTATTAACTCTTCAACAGCACAGAAGAATTAATCTAAAACACAGCAATCAATCTTTAGTCATAAATGGTTTATACTTAGTCTGTCGATTTTTTTTTTGGGTGAAAATTTTCACGTGGAATTTCCCAATTTACTCTAATTCTGTATATAGCACGTTAAGACAACGCAATGGAGGAATTCACTTTTTAATAAAAAACATAACGTTCAATAATTGGGCCATTTTGGCCAAAAACGACGTAGGTTAGTATGTCGATTTATTTTGCGTGAGACTTTTAACGTGGAATTTTCCAAATCCCTTCAATATACAGCAGTGTGAGCCTAAGCATAATGGAGGAATTCACTTTAATTGAAAAATAAAGTCAAAAAAATCACCCATATTTAGCCAAAATAAAATAGGTATGTTGATTTTCTTTGGGTGATAAACTGAATGTGGATTTTCCCAATTTTCTTCAAATACATAGCACAGTAAGCCTCAACGCAGTGGTGTATTTTGAGCGCAAAAACGACATTTAGATTCAACTAAAAAATAATTGGTATTTATAGATAAAGATTGTGAAGAGAAGGATGAGTAAAAGAGATCAAATTGAATTTCAAAAAAACATTGCAACGAAATAAAGCAACGGAAATCATAATTTAACAGACTAGTTTGGCTCAACGTGTCATTCAAGGACGAATATGGATGCTATGCCCTAGGCAGAAAGACATCTCTTTAATAAGCAGACAACAAGCAATGCGCTGCAGAGGAGACACATCGTATTGGATAACTGATGATACAGAACACTGCGAGCGCTATTGGAAACTGAAAACTGGGCCGCAGTGCCCATGCGCAGAGTAAATCAGGACACAAGCAACGGTTCAGTGCAATTGAAACCGAGCCGATGTGGAAAACAGAGATGGTGGTGTTTGGCGGTGCGGCAAAGTTGCCTCCACCTTTGTTGTGGCTTTTCTACAACACATATTTCCGAGTTTGCATTCCCACTTTACCTTCCTTCAGTGTTAATAATAATCCGGAGCCACTGACACATCAACTCAACACAGGTCCTCTCGCCCCATAAACACCAGCAGCGTCCAATCTCCCCAAAACGAGTAAGATGAATTGACTGCCAGATCGCTCGATATTTAAAGGCAGACAGATGGGCTGTCAGCCACGCACTGTTTTAAGTTATCCAATCCATCACGGGCGGTGAAGAGATCTCTTTGAGTCAAGGCCAAGGCAAGGTCAGGCCCCTGACAGAATGTTATAGCTAGGCCTCACTTGAAAGCTGCCCTTCAGTGTTTCGCAGCCGCCGCGGCCTTGCGCTACGTTGGAAAAAAAAAAAGCTCATTAAAATTAAGGTCTGTCCGAGGGCGACACACGGACGACAGCCGTGTGGCATTACGGGACTGTCACTCCTCATGCCGAGGGACACAACGAAGGAGCGACCCGTCCGCCGCGGTGATCTGCCTGCCACGACGCACGCGGCTTTGTTGAAGTGCTTGGCGGCGCCGAAACCCCTCGTCGCTTGCCCCTTGTCGTTTTTAATTTAACGTTGATTAAGGTTTTTTTTTTTTATGCGCCTCGAAAAACATTTTAATTGGAAGATTTTGGCGTGAAACGCCGTTCGCAGACATCTCTTCTCCAATTATTTGGATTCGTAAACGAGGAGAAACGGTGGCGTTGAAGCGCTCCGGGCGGTGAACTCGGCAAGACAAACCCCAGAGCACAATTGGCACTGTGACCGCAAAAGAACCTCTCTCCCTCTCTCTCTCGCGGCAGGGTAGGCAATCGTTTGCAGTTCCCCCCTTCCTTCGGATTCCTGCCCCCTTCAGCAAAAAAAAACAAAGCGGGGAAAAAGGGAAAACCGTGCAAAACCAGGAGACACCTACGCCCGCTCCAAACCCACCCCCTGATCTCCCGAGAGAATACGCTCCGGCCAGCTCCACGGAAGTTCTTTGGATGCCACGAGGAGGTACGGGAGATGGACAAAGGTTAAAAGCTCAAGAGGGGGGTTGCAGCTGAAGTCGTGGTTATGTTCTAATGGAGATGATGTCAGTGGGGGTCGAGGCGATGGGCAGCAGGGTTCGAGCATTAAGCTAGCGGAGCTGCCGTGTGTGCGGCCGCCTTGGCTGACGATAATCATGCTTCTCTGCACAATTTTCCGATTTTGGTTACATTTTCCACGTTTCCGGTCCATATTCCACAGCAGGTCGTATACATTGATTAAAACTCAATCCTCTAGGCGCATTAGCACGTTGCATTAACATTATTAGCTTCAGATTTCTGAAAATGTCAACCTGCTCTCGTCTGCCGTTTCATTATTGTTATTTTAATCCAAATTCTCTTTCAATAACTGCTGTAGACATACACACGGACTCGGACACATTGACCACGAGCTTTCTTTTAAAACATTTTCTACAGTATTTATGTGTACGCTAATTTCGTTTTGATAATGTTCACCTTGAGCCTAACTTAATAAACCCTTCTTTATTTATGTTTCTTATATAATTTCCTCAGGTTGTCATGGTGACGATATCATCAGCAACGCCACAGTGGTGAGATGTTAACTATCTCGCCTGGTATAAAGGAGGTCGTGGGTTCAATCCCAACCCTGATGCCTGTGTATTTGAAGTTTGCAATGCTCTCCCCGTGGTCGCGTGGATTTTTCTCCGGGTCCCCCGGTTTTTCCCCCTACATTTAAAAACACGAGTTTAAGAGTATTTGGCTGCTGTAAATATCACACGATAAGCCACTTCGTTTGTGGCCAGGTCTCTGCTGAAAAAGAGCTACATAGCTCAGTGGGCCTTACCTGGTTGAAATAAAACAAATAGTTGTTAACGGTTAGTCAGCAAACACGAGAGAGTGCCGAGTGCAAAACTGCACTGCCGCGGCGGCAGTGCCCGTCACCATCGCCCGTGGCGCTCTCACCAGGATGTCGAGGCAGGCGGCCTTGAGCAGCGTGATCTGGTCAGCGATGGAGAGGTTGACGAACCCGGGCAGGCGCTTGGCGAACTCCACGATCTTGATGATGCACTTGGTGGCCAGCTCACTGAACTTGTCCCACAGGCCCAGGTCCAGCTGCACACGGTGGTCGGCGCTCGAGTTCTGCGGACGCCACGACGTCAGCGGTCAGCGGTCAGCGGGCGACGGGTGGGCGACGACACTCAACCCCCTCGCTCAGCACTCGCGAGAGACTCGGGGAAAGAACCGACTCAAGATTGTCCTTCCCCCCCCCGCGCCGCCGATTAGCATGGTTGGCTACGTACGGTGCAAAAGAAGCTCAACGTACAAGAGGTCATCACGAACAATGCTGTTGATGCCACCAGGCTGTGCCATCGCTTTACTTCTGATATATCACTCGATTGTAATGCATTCGACGTTCAGCCACCCAGGTCTGTCCCACCATCTGCCGACCTCTGGGTGTCACTGCAATGCCGGCCTGGGTAACCTGTCCTCCTCCGTCCTGCATCTGCGTCACGCCCATTGCAACCTCCTCTTCCTAATTTAATCTCCGACACTTGCTTTGCACGTGAACTGCCATGTTGCTTACGGTATCCTGGAGCGATGGAACAATTCATCCCCTGGTGATTCGATGAACTGCCAAGATACGGGGGTTGAGATTTGATTCAAGAATCTTGTTTTTTTTCTGCAATGTTACAAATGCAGCGCCTACTATTTACTATTGGTTACTCTTTGTCTGTTTTACCAGGTAAGGCACATTGAGAAGGTCAATGAAGTGGCTTATCGCGTGGAAATTTATAGCAGCCAAATACTCTAACATGAATGTTGATAAAAAAAAAATGTGGAAGGAAAAACCGGAGGACCCGGGAGAAAAAGCCACGTGACCACGGGGAAAACACACAAACTCCAAATGTACAGGCATCAGGGTCGGGATCAAACTCATGACCTCCGAGGTAGTTAACATCTCATCACCATGGCACCACTTTAGAGCCCACAGGGTGACTTTATCAAGTGCAGATAAAAAAAATCTACTTGATTCTAACACACACGAATGAATGCATCGTAACAGGCATACTATTTTACCATGAAATGCCTAACATCCTCCACCCGCACCAACAACATAAGCTACACATTTCAACTCACAGTTGGTCATTCTGCTTCACCCTTTCCCATCAGTGTACGTCATTCCATTCCGATGACGTAAGTGTATGTCATTGGAACAGAAAGCTGGAGAAAAAGTAAAATAAAAGAACTTCATGGGTATGTCTTCCGACCAAGCGTGAGAGCGTGGGGCACAGTACTGCGCCAGCTATCATAAGAGTGCGGTCGTGTCACTACAGTTCTCTGCGATGAGTACAATGCCATTAAGAAGAAGGGCGCTACTACGCCTCTCAAAATAAAATGAACGCGAATCGCTTGCGCGTTCCAACATTCAGTGGTGAACGGGATCTTCCCTGCAACTTGCAAAAGTCTCGGAAGGCGAAAGGGTTAATGTGCAATTTTTCGGCCTAACGCGGGTGTCCGAGGGGAGCAATATAAACGACACCCTGCCATGCCACCTCCACGGAAGGTCCCCGTGCGCTCGCCGGCATAAGAACAACGCGGACGCCGCGGCTCTCTCGTGAGAAGGACTCAAGATGCTGCCACTAAATGACCTTGTCGATCGCTTTATGCAAAGTGTGGCCTTAATGTACAACACAAAGGCATCGAGCAAAGTCAAACTTCCCCCCCCCCCCCCATGTCCCGACGGCTTCGTTGAAATCAATACGAAAGCAAGGTATTTTTTTACTCGAAACTTTTCCCGATATTTTTTTTTTTCGCCCGTCGCTCCCATCGGGGCTCCTTTTCGCAACGCTCCGCCGAGCGAGGCCGCTGCTAATTCTCTGTTACCGAGGGACACCTCGCGCAAACACTTCGCCCCCACGAAGAGCGAGTTGTCCGAAAAATGGCACCAGCCATTCCAGATAAACGTCAGCCCTGTGAAGCCGCGTCAGAATGTTCAGAGCGATTTCCTTATCGCGATGAAAATGTTGCCAATGCACCCCCCCCCACCCCCCCCCCGTTAAGGCTGCATTACGCGTGGGAGTGCAACACTTTCAGCACAAACTTCAAACGGGTTTATTTGGTTTGTCCCAGGGGCACCGGAGTTGTTCCTCAATAAAAATAGGAGACACATCCTCCGTGTGCCAGCCCTTGGGGGGGTGGGGGCGGGGGGGGGTCGTCGCATCTGTCGCTCCGCGTTTATTACTTGCCTCGGAAAATAGGCCGAAAAAAAACGTGAATCTCTGGAAAGCGGGACTGCCGAAGCGTACTCGCCACAGAGAGATAAAGCACTCCGCAAAAAAATGTGACCTGTCGCGCCTCTTGAAAATGACACCGTGCGTGTACAACGAATTTAGATTCGCTCGTAGAATCGCAGGATCATGAGAGTTGGCGCCCGCTTGCCAAGGCCTTCATCCAGCAGTGGAGTGGCCATGGCTGACGATGATGATTTATGATGCGACAGGCTGCGATCGAAACCACTACCTTTAATTTTCAAACGGCGATTTTTTTCCCCCTTATTTTATATAAACATCAACCGTGACTGATTGAATTTCAGAGCGTTAGAGCTTTTAAAAGCTTTCTCTGCTTTTGAGACGCACGCCACAACAATGCCACCACTTAAAGTGCTGCATCTTCCACAAAGCCCCAGAGGTGCCTCCGTGAAGTCTCACCAGCAACTCCCGATGTATTAACTCTGTCCTCTTGGGCGGACGAACACTCCACGCTGGCTGGCTGTCTGGCGGCGGTGGCCATCCCTTGTTTGTGCACTCGCACGTCCGCGCGCAGAGAAAACAACCTCGGCACCGGCGCGCACCCGGACACGGAATCCCTTCGGCCGGCCACCTGGCAGCGTGGGGCGTCTGTCGTGCGCTCGCGCGCGGTACGAATGCGCCGTGTGTGCTCTTGCGCAGTTGGAGGCAGTCGTCCTCCAACAACAACGGAGGGCGGAGGAGCGACGCTCACAACAACGAGCGGAGCGCCGGGTGCCTAAAGCACAGCAAGTTGGCACAGTAGGGGGCACAGGTGGTGCATCAGCCACTCATCTCGGTCATCTCAGTCAGTCGACCCGTGGCAACTGGGTCTGCCCCGTGACCTCCTGCCGGCAGGCGTTCGACACTTTGCGTGGCCTCAAGGTGCACATAGCCTGGCACAAGCGTCATGGTGACGTCACCACCACTTAGTGGCGAATGGCGGTTGTTGTTGTTGTGTGTGATGTACGTGGGTACATGGGTGGGGGGGGGCGTAGCGGTTAGCGCTACACTGCGTTATGAAGCCGGCAACCCGGGTTTCGATTCCCGCTCACGGCCAACACCAGTCACGATTATCTGAACCGGTCCTGGGAATAACCCTAGGTAAACTCAGCCTGAAATTAGTACCCGGTGCTGTGTGTAAATATCGCCACTGGGGAGACAAAGGTGGTCGGGCATGGTGCCAGCCACCCACCCCCTCGTGTACCGTGCCGGCCTTCATAGATGCTCTCTAACCAGCCCTTGCTACAACAGTCTGTTAAAGCTATAGCGAAGATTTTGTCTTTGCTGTATGTAGTGCACGCCGTGTGAGCGTGATGTGTGCAAGTGGTGCGGGTGTCTGGTTGCGCGTCCTGCACGTGGCGACCGGTGTGCGTGCTGCACACAATGCACGTCCGTCGCTAGCGGCTGCTCCCCCGCCTCCCCACTCACTCTCTCCCCACCTACGGCCGCCAGCTCCCGCGTTTGCCACTGCGATCCGGTGACCTTTTCAAAGCCACGGGATTGGGAGACGGAGCACTCGGCGTCGCGTGGACGTGCGCGACGGCGCCGCGACCTGCGAGGAAATGTCAAGGAGGGCAGCTGCCGCCGGCTATCGCCCGTTCGCCCGAGATCGACGGTGACGGCGCTGCCGCGACCGCGGCCAGAGACGCGCAGGCAGCTGGCGCCACAGACCGGCTCCGCGCAGTCATCATCATTCTTGTTATTGTTCGCGAGACGATTCACGCGACCGATTCGCGTGCGTTCCGTTTGGGAAAACGCACGGCCGCAAGTGCTGCTCGTCGCGAATCGCGATTACAACACAGCCACGCGCACCGGTGCGCGTGGCATTTGCCCTTCGGCAGCGATCGTCCCCGCAGAAATGAGCCTGCAGCTACATCGCCCTGAGCGCAGCCGGCCTCGTCGCATCTGAGACGCGAGGGTCTGAGCTTGGCGAGTACTCGGGTGGGAGACCGCCTGGCAATACAGCAGCTTCGGTTGCAAGGTGGCCAGGCGATGGTAGTAGAGCGATGGATTTTTTTAATCTATCCGTGCGGAGCTTTTAGCATTCCTGCCTTTTCTCACGATTGAATGCAATTTGGCGAAACACTCCGCGAGCATGTAAGCGGGACTCTGACGTAAAAAAAAAAAAATCTCTCGAGACTTGGCGGTGCTTTGCTGCGTAAATATCCGGCATCGTAGTCAGCACTTGGGAGGAAGGCCCGGGACGCGGCACACGCGGCTAATGCGCCAGGGTGCTCGTGCAAGCGCAACCAAGGCCTGCCGCTCACATTACGAGCACAGAGCCGCAATGGCTCCTCATCTCTCTATTTTAAGAACCGACAGAGATAAATCAAAATCACGAGCGGAGAAATGACAAGCGGGGCCTGTGAAAACGAGCAGACCTTCCCTTTGTTATACGAGCACGCCAAACAACTCTTTGCTCGGGGATGCTGCAATCCCGGAAATTTTACAAGCCACCATCCCCCCCCCTCTCAATTTATGGAAATAAATGACGCTATAAATGTTAAAAGGCCTGTCTAGAATCCCTTGTGTACCTCGGAATGCGCCGTGGTGCAGTAAACGTCGGGCTTTGAAAAAAGCGCTCAGAGGAATTGTGATTCACATGTCACCAGGTCAGCGCCAGGCTCGCACGCGACCCGCGGCCGCCACCGACCCTCGGCATTTATAGCCGCGGAGGCCAGACACCCAGACAATGGGCGGCTTCAAGGGCACTGGTCCGGCGCTTCAAACGGCGTCGGCTGTATGTAGGTCAGAAGGCCCAATCAATACGAAATGACAGTTCAAAGGAAGCGCTGGCATTTATACTTTAAAGATTCCCATTGATGGAGCAAATTTTAGAGGACATGAGAGCACTTTTAATATCACTCTTTGACAATTAATTTAATCTTGAAGTGTGTGTGTTTTTTTTTTCTCTCCTTGGAGTGAAATCTTTCGGCTGACTTTCAAATACGAATCGCTCGCCTGCTCGCCTCTGGGTGGAAAGGGCCCAGAGTGCACGGCCGATGATCCCCTCTGTGGCCATCGCGAGGGGACAAGCTCGCGCCGTTTACACTGCTTATGTTACGCGGTTTACGTTGAGTGAGTTTTTTTTCTACAGGACGAAAACCGGAGAACCTGGAGGGAACCCATACAGAAGAGGAGGAGAACATACAAACTTCACACAGAAAGGTGCCGCGGTGGCGAGATGTTCACTACCTCGCCTGGTATGCAAGAGGTCGTGGGTTTGATCCCAACCCCGACACCTGTATATGTGGAGTTTGCATGTTCTCCCCGTGGTCGTGCAGATTTTCTTCGGGTCCTCTGGTTTTTTCCCTTTCAGATTTAGAAACATGCTTTTGGAGAATTTGCCTACTATACATTTCCACGCGATAAGGCAATTTGTTGAACTGTCATTTGTGTCCAGGTCGCTTCTGAAAAAGAGATATGTAGCTCAGTGGACCTTACCTGGGAAAATAAAAATGTTCAACTTCTATTAAGTGGTTAAATTTCGATTTTAAGCTTTCGTGACTGCAGGGATTCATATTCTTAGTTCTTTCTGTAAAGTCACGTAGAAGAGAAATAATGAAACGTCGTGAGAATTTTATTGTTTTATTTTTATTATTTAATTATTTCCCTTCTACGTGACTTTACTGAAAGAACCAAGAATATCTATAAAGTGCTCAATAAAACACAACCGTGGAATGTTAGCATGGTGTTCGCAACCCCATGTATTACAGACAAAGGGTGGGGAGGCTGCTGGGGACTTGCAATCCAGAGGTTGCCGGATCAATCTCCCATGCCTCTGTGCACCCAGCAGGGAGGAGCAGGGGGTGGGGTGCACACGGGCACATCAGCGCATAGTGGGGTAAAGTGTGGGTAGTCCCAACCCTTCCATGACGGTTTGGCCAGTGTCGAAGAGTAGGCCAAATACCCTCTTGAGGAGCTCCTCCATTGGAGGCTCTTCTCCCGGCGGTTGCGTGTTCAGGGCCGCAGGATCACCGTGTGCACGGCCGCAGGATCAGTGGCGAGGTGGCGCTGCCGACGCACGCCATTGTGGTTTTCGCCGCAGGCGACGAGCGAGCGCCGGATGATTGAGGGGGGAGCTCCTGACCCACCCCCCCCGGAAGATGCCGCGCATCCGTCATGCGCACGGTTAACGAGCAACCCCCGCCCACCCCCGTCGGCCATGATCCTGCGTTGGGCGAAGGCCGTGGATGTCGAGACCAGGGCGCTGGCGGATGCGCTCGGCATTGGTGACCGTTGCTTGCGGGCAGCGGTAACGTCGTGCCGGGCGCACGTGCTCCAGGCCAGCAGCCGCTGCTGCACAATCGCGGAGGGTGGCTGGTGGATCTGCAGCTGTATCTTTGCCGCTCTCCGTTCGTGACGCGTAGCCGGCGAAGGGCCGTCGCGCCAAACGTGCGACCTACTTGCGATAGCGTTCGCATGAACCGCTCTTGCTGCTGCCAGACTCCGGCGTCTCGAGTGATTTGTTTGATCACGGTAGGGGGGGGGGGCCACGGGGGGCGGCGTCATTCCTGAGAAGGTCGCAGTCCACTTCGAATGTCGACCGCCAACTGAAATGCGCAATTACTACAACTACGCTGATTTACCGATGAAAGCCTCACCAAGCCTCCGATTAGCAGGGCTGGCTACATATGGGTGCGAAAGGAGCTCGACTTACGTACAAGGACTCGTTGTTGTCAGGGAGGGCCCTAGCGGGTTTTCGCAGCAGGGGGCGATGTTGCTGCTGTGTTGTAATCCCAATTGAATCACTTGCAGTGCAATCTTCCGGCATTGGGGATGTTCTTAGTCAACACCGGTTAAGTTGCGTGGGGTATTTTCTTTTTAGCTATGAGATGAAACCGAAGAACCCGGAGGAAACCCACACAGAGCAGTAGGAGAATACACAAACTCCACACAAACTCCACGCAGAAAGGCGCGCTCAACACGAAGTGAACCGGGGCGCTCCTTGCCGTGAGGCACCAGTGCTACCTCCTGCGCCACGCTGCCGCTATGACTGGCGAGCAGTTCAGGTTTCACATCTGCATTCTGCTCACCTGCTTTCTGTCACGACTAATTACCATTACAACTAACTTTGGTGCCACACCGACGAGATACAAATCCTGAGCCACGAAGTTGATACTTTACTGTAACACGCGCAGAAACCTGCGGCCAATGGATTTACTTCATTGGCCTTTTGCACCAGAGCGACGCGGACGCACGACGTTGACACGGGGGGGGGGGGGGAGAGGCTCGCAAGCCAGCAGTGGAGGCAAGGCCGCTGGACGCCACGCGCTCCGTCGCTCCGCCGCAAGTGGCGGGGCCACCGCTGACCCCAGCGCAGGTCACCCACACGGACGCTAGTGCCAGCCAGAGCCATCCCCTGCGGCGAATCGGGGCGAACGCCCCGGGCCCCGAGCTTTGGGTGGGCCTCCGCGCTTCGACGTCACCGGTGTCAGATGTCAAAGTTCCGTTTTAGTTTGAAGGTGTCGGGGGGGGGCGCACATTGTGTGCGAGTTGTCCCGGGCCCCACACTCGCCACCCCCACCCCCTATGGACGGCCCTGGCTACTCAAAAGAAACACGTGAATAAATAAACTTGAAATAAGCGTATTCCGCTATTATATACTCGCTCAAGGCGGAAGCGCAGTATGTCCAGCAGCGAAATGCCAAGTCTGCTGGCCACGACGTTTGGACGTGTTATTCTGACTCAATATAATTCTCGCTGCAGACAAGTGCCCTATTTTTTTTCCCCATCAAATGACAATTCACATCCCAGATTGGAATTCATCAGCAGGGAGGGGCGGCTTCTAGAACGAGCATCAAGTCGACGCGGCGCACGACCCAAGAGCGGCGCCGTGGCTCACGCACAGGGGCCAAGCGCCACCCTGGCACCCGTCGCGAAGACGTCTCCGCCCACCGCCCACGCGCATCACTCAAGGGAGGAGGCGCTGCCCGAGCGGTCGTACCCGGCCACAGCAGGCACAGGCGCGCCGAGGGCACGGACATTACGCTCTCCAGAACACCCCTCTCGCGATAATAATGCCTGATCCGTATCTACAGCAAAACCTGGGGTCTGAAGCATGTGGCAATAAATCAACCCGAACGCAGCCGAGTCGAGCGACAGCACCGGGGGAACGGTGACCGCATCACTCGCCACGCCGCGGCCTCACTCGCGCGCACGCGCACCGCGGCGCCTGCCGGGCACACGCGCGGACCTCTCGGTCCCCGGCGCACACGTCGCCAGACTCACCATGGTGTACTTCCCCAGCTGGTAGAGCGACGGGAAGGTCTCCTGGTGCGCCTTGTGGACCTTCTCGATGAGGACTTCCATCTCGGCCGGCATGGCCAGGGTCTCCGAGGGCTCCTGCTTGGCCACATCCTTCTTCTTCTTGTTCCGGTCGTTCCGCACGGCTGCCGGGAGGAAGACAGAGGGGCGTCATTCATCGCGATAGAATGTCGTCGACTCGTCCTACGATTCGCTCGTGTGAAACGTAGGATGAGGCACGAGTTAAATATACGGCTGAGCCCCGCGGCCTCGGCCCCCGAGGCTGATCGCTGAGGTCCGGGCCCCCGTGAGTCACTGCTGAGTGGCGTCGTGGAGATAAAAGGGAGTTCAAAACTATCGCGGTGGCGAGGAAACCGATAAAATGCGTTTCTTTGTTTTTGCTTGAAATGCTATCTCCTACAGGGCCCTCTGCGAAGCGGTAAAACGGCATCGGCACAATTATGGAAAAGTCACTTCCCGTCGTATCCTTGCACGGTGAGAGCCAACGACGCTCGTTTATAAACACGCAAGATTCCATCGCTGTCACTGCGAGCATTTACCACACGGCCTGCTGGCCAAACCCATAAAACTGCACTGGATATCTTAAACCTCGGACCATTCACCGCATCTCGTTTCTGGGTGCTCTGGCTTGTCATACCCAGTGCTTTCGCAGTTTAATGTGCAACGCACATAAAAAATGTGAAATATAAGCGTCATGCGTCTGCAGTTTGCTCTCGTGGAACACAAGCGAGGCTCCCTGCTGCATGATCCAGTTAAACCCCGTTTAGTTGGTTTTTGAATCCCTCTCCAGATGCTGTTTAATGTAGAAACGCAGCCACCGACACGACTGGCCCACATTGCTCGCCGCAGGAACATTCGCGGCCTCGTCTTTATCAAGTGGGAAATCCTTCACATTTCAATCTACAAATAATCCCCACGTGGATAATTGCACGTCAACACATACCCCCCCCCCCCTGTATTTATAGACCGGCAGAACAGGACGGGCACCGAGCGCGGCGCCTTGCGCCGACGCGTGTGGGCTTGTTGCGGAGGGGGGCGGCAGCGCCACGGGGGTTGCGTCCTGCACGGGTCAGCGGGGCGAATAACCGACGGCGGCGACGGCGACGCCGAGCGCCAAAGCGTCCGGCAGAAACCTTTCCCCCCATCCCCCCCGCTCTGTGTGTGGTCAGCGGAGTTCATTCCATGACTGCACCCGCTGGGAGTCGAGGCCGCACCTGCCCCGCGATAGCTGCACCCGGGGGACACGGGCTGAGAAGACGACGCGCTGCGGACGGGGGACTCGGTAATCGGCCGGGAAAACCCTGAACCTTTGCTGTGACGAACCCGCACGTCCGTCCGGAATCGCGCGGCCTACGCGGCTCCGCCTGGGAGAAACTCCACTCGAACCCGGCCAGAGATTCAGCCGTGGTTTAAACCGATTCCCAAGACCGGCGGGATTCATTTTGTCAGTAAACATCCGATAGCTTGACAACTCAAGGGGGCGACACATGGAGCACACGTCGGAATTCCCCACCTACTTACAATTTCCACGATAGTGCTTGGATGGGTGACCACCACAGCAGGTGTTAAAGGCCGCTGCGGGGCTACGTTGTTCTCAGCGGAGGGCAGTGCCGCAAAAATCCATCGTTGTACCTCGATGCTCTGACATCTACGCCCCTTCGCCTTCATCTACCCAGCCTGATTAGGGTGGCAGAGTACGGCCAGATAACCCCTTGTGTCCCCCGCGCGGCGTGGAAAGGCACCCCATCCAGCAGGCTTGCTCATACGCTAAGCAACGCTCCTCCGCGGACTTACACTCCTTGGACATGCCGACCTCGAAGCACTTCTGCAGGCGGCAGTACTGGCAGCGGTTGCGCGTCACCTTGTTGATCACGCAGCCCTTGTCGCGAGGGCAGGTGTACACCATGTTCTTCTGGATGCTGCGTCGGAAGAAGCCCTGCGGGGGGGGGGGGGGGGGGGAGGGCGGGAGGGCGAGGTGGGGGACCCCACGGGGGGACACGGCAGCACGCGCGCCAAGGTCAGGCTGAGCTGACGACGCTGACGCCACCGCCGACGTCGCCGCCGGCCCGGTTGCCCGATTTATTTGGGGCGATGGGTGATTTGGCGTCCCTGGCGGTAGCGCGTTCGCCGCCCGTTCGCGTTGCGGAGGTTCGCGGGTTCGGCGGCCGACCCCGGTTCATCCCGGGTGTAGCGCCGCAAACAGCGCGCGTGGTCCGTCCGCAACGCATTTGGGGAGTTTAAAAATCCTGTGACGGTGTCCGAGGACGAGTCGGCTTCACGTGCCGGCGTCGCGCTCCAAAATCTCGAGATTAACGAAAAATCGTTCACGAATGTATGAATCTGGTAAAGCCCCACTGCGACACCGCCCCCTGTTGGTGAACTATATCCGTCTGTCAACCACAGCGGCCTTCCTGAGAGCCTTTGTGCTGTAAGAATGATGCGAATACCAACTACACCGACGACGATTCTTGTCATTACTGCCTCTAAATGCCCCCTCCCCCACCAGGATGGGGGTCGCGATCCGGCCCGGCAGGAGGTGAGCAGCGCCCCCCCCAGCACCCCCCCCCCCAGCACCCCCCCCCGTATTGTTAAGGCGCCAACGCTGGTGCTGCTGGAGGAGCGCAATTGCGTGGTTGGCGCGGCACCAGCGTCTCCCCCCCCCCCCCCTCGACTCCCACCGGATCAGCGCGGGGAGGCAGGAAGGCATTCTCACTCTCGAAAACAGAATTACATAACGCGACACGGTGCGTTCGTGCCATCACAACGAGGGGGGGGGGGGGTGGGGGGGAAGTGAAAGTTTTTTTTGTTTCGCTGTCAGTCATCGGCCTGAGAACTCGGCGTAATGCGGCGTCAGAAAGCTCGGCTCGGCCGAGCGTTCAACCTCAAAAGAGAACGAGCGGCTTCGACGCTCACCTGTGGCTCGCCGATCGGCACGCAACGGGGTTTCCGCGAGCTAAATAAATAAACGAGCGAGCGAGCGTGCGTTCGCGCTCCCGAGCGCGATTGACGCCCGTTGTCGTTTGTTGTGTTGGGAGCCTTGGCGTTAAATCCTAGGAATCCTGGTAGGAAAGGGATGGGCGTGAGCTGGCACGACTATAAATAACGTTTATGGACCAGAAGTGCAGATTTACGGCATCTTTTCAGTGCGCTTTCCCGCAGGTTAACCGTTTCCTTCCTAAAGCATGGCCACAGCACAATCCCATTTCGTTCAAAACAGAGGCAGCTAGAGGTGGCTGGGGGCGCAGGCAAAGGGACGGTCGTGAGGCAAGCGCTGACGCACAACGACAGCGGCGCACTCAAGCAGCCGCAAAGCAGCTCGGCACACTCGGGCGTGGCACGCATTAGGGTGGCGCACGCGGCGGTGGCGCACGCGGCGGTGGCACATGCGGGGGTGGTACACACAGGGCTGGCACGCATTAGGGTGGCACACGCGGCGGTGGCACACCCGGGCGTGGCACGCATTAGGGTGGCGCACGCAGCGGTGGCGCACGCGGTGTCTCAACACACGAGATACATGCAATCGTTCAATTAACATTACGGCAGCAAACGTCTTCATTTCCATCCGCCTACAACCAACTCTTTCTCCCTACAAAACCAGTCACGCCCACCGCATCCCCCCCAGCAGCCAGAGCCGCCCGCACGCGCCGTACGGGCGAGCCACGAGACGGGCGCCCCACGGTACCTTGCATCCCTCGCATGAGCTCACGCCGTAGTGGTAGCCCGACGACTTGTCCTGGCACACGAAGCACGGCTTGTAGACGCGCGGGGGCGGCAGCGGCGACGGGGGGCTCGGGATGATCTCCTCCGAGCCGCTGCTCTGGCTTTCCACGGCTGCAAGGTAGTGGGGGTGGGGGGGGCACAGAGGCACGGAGTGGGGGCGACGGGGCATCAGCGCTCGCTCCGACCGGGATTTGTGCAGTGGTGGCAGGGCAACCATCGACAGACCGGGCCACAGAACGGAGATCGGCAGATGGACAGACAGTCAAATATACGCACGGGCAGCCCATCCACAACAGACAGAGAGACAAATCGAGATGCAGGCCAGGATGAAGGCAAACAACAGACATGTACATATGCAGGCAAACAAATACAACGACAGACAGATTTATTAAGGAGGGGCGAGACGACTAACAGACGGACAGGCAGACAAACAAACTGACACCCAAATATACAAACACACATGCGCACACGGAGCCTGCAAACAAACATGCGTATAAACAGCCGTATCTAGGGCAAACACAACATCCATTATTTGGGCAGAACAATGAGAGCACGCGAACTGGTGCCAGCCACGATTCACTGACATCTCCCGAGAGCCCTCCTGCCCCCCCCCCCCCCCCGCCGACCACAGGCCTCTTCTCCCTCGTGGTGGAAGAATTTTATTTTCATACAAATAATTCCAAAAATTACGACGCTTTGTGTTGCGATTTTAATTATCTCCGACTGCCCGCCAGCACAGTGACAACCGCACGAATAAACGCGTTCGGCGGCGGAACCCACCTCCTCGCGTAGCTGCCAAATCTAGCGGTTTAATTATTTGGCCAACGCGGGTCTCGCGCGCTGTGCCACCGAGGTGAGATCTCACCGTCGCTCGACGGGAGCCGAACCTATGCCAATGCCCGGCCACGCAGAGCGAAGGTTCGTGCGGGAGGTGGAGCAGCGCGCGTGGCTATCGAGTAGTGCGCGGCTGGCGAAGGCAGCCACAAAGAGGGGGTTCGGGGGAAATTGGGACAGGAGGCCCCACTTGGTTCCTCGCCGCCAGGGCCCGTGACAAGCGTGCCACTTAGGCCACTCGGGCGAAAGGCGGCGCATAGGCGTCGGGGGGGGGGGGGTGAAAGGGGGCACCGCACGGGGTTAAAAACACCATCGCGGTGTGCCAGCTGCGGGAATTCACAGCTCGCTCCGCTGCGGCAGATTCGGCGGTTCTGTTGATGCCGCGATCGAGACTTTGATGTGAGACTAAAGGACATAAAAGGGCTCGTATAACACACTTGGGCACGCTCGATCAATAGTCGTTCCTTGTGAATAAATACAACTGCCACATCGATGCTATTGCAGCTCCAAAATAACTTGTTTTTTGTGCAAATGGCGGAAACAATGATTCCGATTCTGACGGCGTTATAACAGCAAAGCAATTGTGCTGGGATCTGCGTTGTACGAGATTCTGCTTACAACAACGCCCGATATATATATATATTTTTTTAAAGCTTCGGTTTGATTGAAAATGTACAAAACATCCTGAAATGGCTCGTGCTTACGTTTGGCACCGCGACTATGAGCTTCCCCATTGAATGGGCAAGGAAGCCGCTGCACGCTGCGAAAATAAACAAATGGATTACTGCCCCCACCGAGCCGCAAACCCATCGCCACAAACTACAACACCCACAATGCACCTGCTCACACAGGAACCCCCAACAACAGAGGCACGCTATTTTAATTTTGGAAACTCTGGCTCGATAATCCGGCAAATATTTTCCGCTGTGTATAATAATATTATTATTATTCAAAGAGAGTCTATTCTTGTTATGAATAATGAACATCTTTCACTGCTTGGCTCCATTGTCGTCATCGCTGCCTGCGTGGGGGATAGGACGGTGGGCCCTCTGTGCCCAGCAAACGTCAGCCTTGCGCATGAAGCGGCGCTGAAAGATTTCGTCTCCGGGCTACGGCTGCCCGGAGACCGGGTGTGGGCAACATTTCATCGGCCCCCCGCCAGTGCAAGATGCTCCCAGCGGCACTCAGGGAGGGGGCCGTGGCACGGACGTTGAGACGTGGCGGCCGTGGTGAGGGCCTCCCTAACACCCGGATTGCGGGCACGCTCCACGTGTCCGCGGCAGTCGCGAGCCCGAGGCGCTAATCTGGCGATGACCAACCCCCGCCCTTTTCCCCACGTTGAAGGTGCAGAGACTGATTTGCGGGGTTGCAACGCGTGTCGTTTTTGCTCAATGTCCAAACGCTTCGCGCTCCACGTGCCGGCAGCTGAAGAAGAAGCGTCGAACGTCGTGCCGAACAACGCGCAGAGCCACCGGAATCAACCTACGCAGAGGAGGCTAATTCTCACAGAGTGGTTTGTATTCTATTCTTGCGCGTGAAGGCAGGAATATGTTCAGCCGCTAAACGCCAATTTCGAGGTCTTCCAGCGACAGACGAGAGGGCTTCTGGAGAGAGTTTGTGTAGTTGTGATGCTCCTCCTCCTCCTCCGCTGAAGGAGCGTAGACTACAGTGGTTTACTACGCGGTCCCTACTTTGGGTTGCAAGGCCACATTGGCTTGTGTCTTTACTTTCCATTGGAGACAGTGCTCCTACATTCTGATATGAATTTAGAGGCATGTGTTAATCCACTGCTGGATGAAGGTCTCCTCATGCCGTGTCAGTCACGAAGGTGAACGTGCAGGACCGGTTCCGCTCCCACTTGCTACCCACAGCTGGGAATCGAACTCAGGTGACCGTGTTTGTAGCGGAGTGCCTCCGTCCCACCGCTCCGCCTCTTATAGCCATGGCAGATCTACGAACTCGGTCTTAATTGTTGCCACGTCTGGATGGCAGGCATGGACAGTTCTCCATGGAATTCTCACAGAAAACAGTGGTCAATGGAAGCCACTTCCCCTGGATCCCACATGCATCATCATCAAACTAAACTATTAAGCTATCTTTAATTTTACTAAATAAGGCCCGCCGAGCTATATAGCTCTTTTTCAGAAACCACCAGGCTACAAATAATAGCCCGGCGAGGTGGCTTATCACGTGGAAATTTCTAGCAGCCGAATACTCTAAACACACGTGGAGGGAAAAACAGGAGGACCCGGAGAAAACTCCACGTGACCGAGAACATCCAAACTCTCAAGTATACAGGTGTCGTGAGGACGGGGATCGAACCCACAACTTCCTGCATACCAGGCGAGGTAGTTAACATCTCGCCACGTCGTTGATGGCGGCGGCGGCAGCGATCGCTCCAGCTGAACGACGTCCACTGTGCGCCACAATCGGCCAATTGATGGCGCACTCAACGCCACAATGCACGCGCACAATGACTAATTACAAGGGTCACATGCTGGGAACTGGCTGCCGAGATTCTTGCCAAACCCTACAAGTCATACAAATATATATTTATAGGACTTAAGCAGAGTTACAGGCTTAGACTGCCAAAAGGAATTTAATGTTTACATATGAACATAATAACCGGCTCCCACGCTTAAGCAGAGTAGTAATAAGGGAGACACGGAGGAGGATTGGATCTTGCGCTGGTCTTCATTATCCCTGCTGTGAGCTCAGCCCGTGCAGGCAGATTATCTGCAGAAATCTGACTCCCTTGGTGATTTGGCACGGGAATGTCGGAGACCCCTCCACTTTTGAGCAGCAGCGGCAGCGGCGGCAGCGGCAGCAGCAGCAGCATGTGGTCGGGGCACAGCTGGGGGTCCTTCACAGATGAATCTCTGGCAAGATGCCTGCTCCCTGTGCTGCGAGAGACCTGCAGGGCTGTCGCTGTATCGGTATTCAGCAGCACACACTTGGGCGAGGCGTTCTGACATGTGACATGTGCCAGAAGCATCCGCCCATGTGTGCGTGTCTGTCTGTGTGTGTCTCAGTGCTCGCTAACAGCACTTGCCCCTAGAGTCTGTTAAGGCTATACGGGGGATCTTTGTCTCAGTCAGAAGCTTCGATTCCTGCTCACGGCCAACACCAGTGATGATTATCTGAACTGGTCTTGGGCCTCCCCTAGGTCGACTCAACCTCAAATGAGTACCTGGTGCGGTGCGTAAACGTTGCCAATCGGGAGACAAAGGCGGCCCGGGGTGGTGCTGGCCACCTAATCCCTCGTGTACCTTGCCGGCCTTGCTCGCTAACAGCACTTGCCCCAACAATCCATTAAGGTTATACAGGGGATCTTTGTCTTTGTGTGTCTCTGTGTGGGTGTGCATCTTTGTGCGTGAGAAGTCATATGTAAGTGTGCATCGGTGTGTATACGAGCGGTCGTGTGCATGCATCCGTGTGTGTGTGTGTGCATCCGTGTGTGTGTGTGTGCATCCGTGTGTGTGTGCGCAGCGCGCTAACCGCTACATTACTGCTCCCCACACTCACTGACTCACTCATTCAGCACTCACCCACGCACTCACTCACCCACCCACCCACATACTCACTAAACCCCCACACTCCAGGTCACCTCACTTCTCTTTCACGGCTTCTTCCCTCGCACGGCTCCCACTTTTGAATGCCCTCCCATCGCCTCTTTCTCCAAGCTCTTGCAATAACCTTGCTCAAATCAAGAAACGTGCAATACGCTTTATCTTTCCAACTTTGAGATTGCCATTTGTTGATGGCTGTTTGACGTTTCGGGCCCTTGGGCCGACTCAGCCTCAACTGCTTTAAAAAGAGTAGGAGGTCGTAGGTTCCCAACTCCGACACCTGCTATATATTTGGAATTTGCGGTGTCTCTCTCCCAGTGGTCGCCGTAGATTTCTCTCTGGGTCCTCCGGGTTTTCCCCTCCACATTTAGAATCAACGTGCGCTTAAAGAGTATTTGGCTGCAATAAATTTCCACGCGATAAGCCACTTCGTTGCGCTCTCACTCGCGATGGCCACGTCGCTTTCCGAAAACGAGCGATAAAGCTCAGCGGGCCTTGCCTGGTAAACAAAACTAAAATCTCTTACACCATTGGAACCTCGTTTGCCAGTAGCAAAATATGATAATTGGTTTTTTACCCTTTTATCTGGCAACAAAACTGACACCTTTTTTTACAAGGAGTCATGTTTGCCTTGACCACAATACCTGCGGTCAGAATTCAAACAAAAAACACAACTCTGATAAATGTATGCACTGTCCTTGAAATCGA